CACGACTTGTGTGAAAATATCGGCACCAAACACCTTTTATTTCTGTTAAGGAACATTGAGTTTTCCATAAGGTTAACCCAAAAGGCCACTCGTTTTCCATTTATTATACATTCATGTTATTTTCAACAATTTTCTTTGAGGCTTGAATGCGAAAATGGGACACCCAAATCTATCATTAGTCTATAGAACTTTAAAATTATCACAATATAATCAAACGAAAATAAAGGGATGAGGGCCAGTCTATAGCTTATAAGGTAGGTATTTTAGAATTTACTTACATGAAAATGTTAAAAATTCAAGTCATGATGTCCAGTCCTGGTAGAACAATTTTATTTATTATTTAGCCAAATTTCTTATTTATTGCGCCCAGCAAGAAGAGGGTCACATCACAGTCTCTATATCATACAAAAAAATAGAAGCATGAGCTGACAAATCAGCACAGAAAACAGTAGAAACTTTGACAGGGTAGGTACCTACCTATGTTTTCAAACCATTTCTAGAACTGCCCCCTACTGCTTGGTCCCTGGATGCACCGATGTGTCTTTCTGAGCAGATTTACGGGCCTATTCTGTAACTCAAATCGAATCGACAATCGAAAACTTAAATCGATAACTGTGGAAATTTGTCCACAGGGTTATCGATTCAAGTTTTCGATTGTCGATTCGATATGACTTACAGAATAGACCCGTTAATCTCCTATCAGGGACAAATTGGAAATTAATCGCAGTTAAAATAAGCATGCCCCTTGGCAAGGGGAGAGTCTCACAGTACCTAACTTCCCCTCTTGATAAAAGATTCAACTTTCCCGGCCCTGTATCCCATCTTTCAAAGTGTACTCTGTGAACAAGTCTAACTCACCTAACCTAACTTTTTCTCATTTGTGTCTCTGATGTTGTTTAGCTGTGGAATATAAAATTGTGTGGTGAAAATTCAATTTAAAAGTGCCAGAAAAATTCTTAACGTGAGTAAAAACCTTATTCCTGAATTGCAAGAATGTGGCTTTTATGTAGAGTTGTTTTAAGTTTACCTTATGGCTGTTGAAATCTTAGGATCTGTATTTGTAGGTTACCTTTTTTGGACATAAATTAATGTGGTGAAAATACATTTTAAAACTGCCAAAAAAATACTGAGAGTGAGTAAAAACTGTAATCTTCAACTGTACATTTTAGATTTTACGTAGTGTAAGTAGTTTTTATTTTATTAGGCATTTGGAATCATGAGGTCCGTCATTTGTAGGTTAAAAAAAAAATCCAACTACCATATCCCCTATTTATACTTTTGGATATTTTAGGAACTGCTGATAATTGGTTTTCCTCATTATTTAAATAATATCAATGAAAAATAAAGAAAATATCCAGATATTTTCAATTAAATACTGGTGGCGCCATCTTTCCGCGGAAAGCTCCACTAGGCCTTGAACGTTTTTGCCAGCTATGGGATTCCTAGAGCTGAGTGTAGGACCATCATAGGTGACCATACTAATTACCTCATTTTTATTTTCTAAAATAATTAATCCTACTGGTTAATTAAAGAAAGCATTCAGACTGATTAATAATGTTTATTTTTTGATATGTATACTCTTTATTTGTTTTTTTGAAAATGAACATTCTTCGGAGGGGAATCTTTTTAGTTGTGGACGGTATTCTCAAACTTTAACCCAAAAATTTAAATAATAACATACATTTTGCAACAAAATAGCAATTTTCAATCTGATACCGCAGACGGAATTGCGCGCATTTTTTCGCCAGCTCTTGGCCAGCATTAAAACGGACCTAATAACCAACTACGGAGCGGTTCAAAACCTACAATCTTCAATTTACTAGTAATTCTTGCTGGGGCTTTTTATTAATATAATTTTAACTTGCCACTGCCCCTAGGCTGCAGCTTATAGGTTCCTCAGCAAAACATGTATTTTTGCATTTTAATCAATAAAATTGTTTTGGGTGCATTAAAATATGTCTTGAGAAGAAAATATTAGAAATTTATTCGATGTCGGATAGTTTTCATTGAATAGGAAAATCAATTAAACTCGAAATTAAATCAAATTGACAAACTGAGCGAAATACCCTCCTATCAGTTATCAGTTTACTTTGCATTGTTGTTGTTTTGCAATTATTCAATTTCCAATAAGTCATAATATTATGCAAATAACAGTCAACAGTATCACAATTCAATAAAATCTTCACAATGAAAACTAGCTCAAATTTGTTTATAGAACTTGCATTTCAGCACTATATTTGTTAAACAAGTCTAGTTATGTAATTACATATATGTATAATTTGAACCTGAAGTATCTCAAACAAATGGCATACTCTAGTTTCCATAATATTTTTTGACTTTGTTAAAACCGCATCAGAATTCTCCTGAGTCTATAATTGAAAATTCCACTACTTTATTTCATCCAAATTAGATTCTAATTCTGTGAAGATTTTTGATTATGATATAATGTTAACTACCTATGAAAAGAGGCCTATAAATCTAGCACATTCATGGTGAAAAAAAAGTAGGAGCTTAGAAAATAATTAGGTGCTAGTATCACCTTATCAAAGATTAGGTGCTCCTTCAATTTTTGAGAAAAAAGAAAAAAAAAAAAAACGGAGGGTGAGCTTAGGAAAACCGGAACTGCTGGCTTTACTAGTAGTGGTGGTGTATGGAAAGCAAAGCTGATCTCAGTGGCTGAGAATGTTGGTATAGGAATTAAGTGCTCTCCCAGCAGGCCTTCTTGTAGCCAATGAAAAACACAGATCAGTTAATTATTAACCAGATTGATAATTTTAAATTACAGATTTTTCATTATTATTAGGGAACTGCTGGCATTAAATGCTCTCTGTCGCAATATTCCTTTTTGAAAATGACGTAATGTGATCAGCAACTCTTTCCATCCCAATGACGTTTACTCTAAGTGACAAAGTTGCGTCCGAGGGAAAACACTGAACATTGTTTTCAGGCTTAATGGCCGTCGTACCGCCGTACTATCTAAATCTTGAATAAATTTGCCATAACTGCGTTTATTAAGCGGTATGATAACTTCGAGGATTACTTTAAAATTTACGATTTTACAAATTATTGAAGTTCAACATTTTTGGAAAATTCAGCAAAACTTGCTAAGTTTAGAAAGGAGTTTTTCTACAAAAAACTATAAGGCTCAGATCAATTTTTTTTTCTCCATTTGATAGCTCATAGTTTCTTGAATTTAAATGTACTTTTTTTTTTTTTTTTTTAATTTACGAAAGGAAGCGCGGACCGTTTTCGGCATATTCCAAATGGGATCGACCGCGCCCTATAAAACGGCTTCTACAGAAATTACAATGCATAAATTAACAAAAACAAAAATACATCTAAGTTCAGGAAACTATGAGCTATCAAATGGAGAAAAAAAAAAAATGATCTGAGCCTTATAGTTTTTTGTGAAAAAAATCCTTTCTAAACTGAGCAAGTTTTGCTGATTTTTACAAAAAAGTTGAACTTCAATAATTTATAAAATCGTTAATTTTAAAGTTATCACTTAAAAACGCACTTATGGCAAATTTATTCAAGATTCAGATAGTTTTTGAATGATTGAAATGGGATAATCCGTTCAGAGAAGCCTATTAGCAGTGCTCTACCCCAACTGCCATTTTTTCAAAAAAACCGTCCCCATTCAGCGAGCCCACCCCCTAAACTACTGCAACATGAGATTCCAACTCACTAGTTCATCTGAACAAACTGTCAAAATTTAAAAACTATACTTTTTTTTTATCGCAAACCACGCTTTTTTTGCTTCATTGCCTGGACTATTAGGTATACCTACCCCTATTTTTGTTTTTGGAGCGTATAAAACTCCAGAGCTGTTAGGATCATTTTTAATATTTTGCTCCAGTGACAATTGGTGTAAATGATACTCATCGGCAGCTTCTTGATTGCATCTCTAAGATTCTTTTGTTCAGTGCACTGAAGGTTACTAGCTTTGTTCTTTATAACTAGCCTGTGCAGTCTATTTTTCTATCTGATGTTACATATCAGTTCGATGGAGAACCACTTTGGATATTTACATTTGCTTCCCTTCGAAGCCACAACTGCCTTTTTGGGGATCGACTGATTATACTTACTTACTCTAAATTTCTGTTTTTTTTTTTCTATCTGGTTTTAAATTGTTATTAACAAATTGTATTGGTGGGCAATACCCATGTTTGCCCACCAATCGAAGATCTTTTGCATCCCACAGAAAACGAGTTGTGGGTTTTGTTTTTGTTTTAAAACATAGACAAAACACAAACTCAATAGTCCGTTAGGGGAAAACCGGCATTAGAAAATGGATTAGGAAATAGAAGAACTTATTAATTATCAATTCTCAAAAAATTTTATTAAATCGAAGACAGCGTGTGACGCATAGCAAGTGAACATTTAGAACTAACTACACATCAAAAGAAAAATAATTACAAACCCTTTCCTAAGTAAACAATTCTTCATTTGTTTATCTTGCACAGAAATCAATGTGAACACATGCAGTCATCCATAGCTGCAATATAAATAAGGATTCACTGATATGAATATCAGTTTATTAAACACTACCAATCTTAAAGTTTTGTAGTGAAATGTATGTATTATTCTTAATGCTCTGTTTGACAAATCGAAGAGCAAATGATTTTTCAATTTCCATACAGGAAGAGTCAGGTTACCTATTTTTGTTATTAAATATATATTTTTTTCATTCTAGTATGCCACCCAAAAAGGTACAAGAACCAGAGAGAAAGCCCATGATCGGGCGAGTAGGTACCAACTTGAAAGTGGGTATAGTGGGAGTCCCCAATGTTGGAAAGTCGACGTTTTTCAATGTCCTCACCAAGAGTTCGGCGGCTGCTGAAAATTTTCCTTTTTGTACCATCGATCCCAAATGAAAATAAGTATCAACCAATTCTATTTTTATTATTATGATGATTATAATCAATTATCCAATAATATAATACACAATACATAATATAAATAGTTTGTAAAATTGCTAAAGCTTTCACAATAAGCAAATGAGACAAACTTATTCGCTCAACTTGGAAACTTATCTAATGCTACAAGCATTGGAAATCATTTATGGCTATGAAAATAGGTACTTCATGTAGAAAAACTGTGCATAGTTTCTTTAGTTTAGTTAAAACCCCCAACAAGTTAAGGTATTTGTAGAGATCTAACAATATTTGTTTCTTTAAGCAGGGTTCCTGTACCAGATGAGAGGTTCGACTACCTTTGCGATTACTTCAAACCATTAAGGTAAGTTTCCTTTTCTCGTACATTTGTACATTTTGTGAAAAAGAAAATGACGATTTATATTATTGTATATTGGCCTTTTTATGTTGCTGATTAATCACTAAGTATGTCATTTTAATTTCAATTTCATTTTTTAACCAAAATTCCTAAAATCCAATAGGACCACCATCGCCACACTAAAAATAATGTAACGCTTATAAACAACATTTTTGTATAGCTCTTTACAAAAAAATAACAACGTAATCACAAGCTAATGAGGGTGACCACTCCAATTTTGTGGGCGCCCCAGTGACGGTGGGAACGCGCCTTTTTGATCGCGGCTGCTCAAAAATATTTAGATATTAGATTAGGAATTCATCATAAAAGTTACCTCTAATTTTTATTAAAGGTGAGATTATCTTAATGGACATTCAAAAGTGAAAATTACCTAATTATAGATTGTGATCTGAAAGCAGCTAAATTTTGTAAAGTTTGAATAAACAGCAGTAACCACGACCAGTAACCACTAACCACTCAGTTAAATTGTACATGTATTATTGCCATTTTCTATAAATTTTTCTCAGTACTTATTGCCAGTTAATGCATGGATGATAATGTTTATGTCATGGAATTTTGATTGGCTTTAACCAATATAATTAATGCGATTGAATGCGGAACCAGAATGGCATATAGAATAGAAAAAACAGGATTAAATTGGAAAATTATACAAAAAGATGAGCAAAAACTTGTGCTATATCTCCCAATCTTTAAGATTGAAAAGCGGTTTGATTAACATGGATCAAATTTTTCATGACAGAGACAAGATTCATTAGAAAGTGTTTTCGTCAAATTGAGCTTTTATTAGGACACAAATGTGGTCGCTATATTCTATATATTTTCTTGCTTCTAAGCCCAAAGCAGTTTTTCAGTTCGACAATTTTTTTTGGTGGTGTAAAACACAATTTTCTTAGTAAGGAAGTAATAGTGTCTAAAAATTATTACAGTATTTATTAGTTAAATGCAACTACAAATATCAAATTACTATTTATAACTAACCTCATTATTTTTGAAACACTATAATTACAACACTTGCTTTTCGTGAAACGTACCATTTATTTAACGATAAATGACACTATTTATTAAAACTACTTTGTAGGAAAACTGAAAATACCCATCTATTAGAGTAAAATTGAATTTAATAGAAGTTATTTGTCACACTACAGACCTTCTCCGCACGCATCTTTTCTATTAAAGAACAATTTCACAAAACCCCTCATTACCTCATTTTTTAAGAGGCTAGAAAAAAAATCACACAAATTATTATTTTAAAATACTATCATTAGATTGGCTATTGTGCGTGAAGTATGACTATTTGTTCCGACAAACCGTACAATTTAAGCTTAAGTGTGACCAATTTTGTTAGTGGGTTCACAGGATAAACCATTTTTGCTGTTCGTGAGTCGCCGAGAGGGATCTAAATGCGTTAAAACTACAATTTTGCCGATAAACTGCTCAAATTGTTTAATGTTTTGGGAGGGAACGGAATTTTTATCTGGGTATTATGTTTATGAAATTATGCTTCAAAATAATCAGTATCTAGAAAACGTTATACAAGGTGTCCCAGGAAAAACAGTCCACCCCGATTTATTGGATTTGGGGATGAGAATCTGGAAAAACGCTCGGATACGTCGATTTTTGATTTGAGGGGGAACTATTTTTCAGTTTTTTTCATCCCCGTAGTTTCAACCCTCTAGGGGGAGAACAACCCCCCAAATTTGAATAAGGGATAGGGGTCATGTCATATCTTTTTTTAAAGGTCTCATCGAGTTCTTTATGCCCCTAGAATTCCGTCTCATTATTTTCATCCGTAACGAAATGACAGCTTGTCAAAATCTTGGAAATAGACTTAGTTTTAGTGGGGAGCAAAAGCGATACCCACCTCCCTTAATAGAAATACTGGAAATGAAGTTTTTTCTTATTATTATTGATGAGGTCTACACGAGAATTGTAAATGGGCTCTTTCACTAAAATTTAAATACGTAATTTAGGTATAAAATCCCAAAGGAGGGACTATTTTAGGCACATATACCAAAAAAAAATGTTCTACAAGGTTAAATAAGTTTTTTACAGGCATTTTAAACTACCAAAATTTGAATTATTTAAAAACGCGCCGATTTGCTGACGTCGCATAAATATTTTTCATTTCGCTTGTTGTTGCAAACAGCTGTCCGCCTCTGCTGTATTTATCCTGTAGTAAATGCAGGTAAAGGTTCGAATGCGCTGTTGTCGGTGGTGACTAAATGTAGTGCAACGTAAAATAAATAAATAAAACTAAACATAGAAAATTATATTAAATTGTGTTTAAGCATAATTTCAATAAAAATGTTATAAAATCTTGAATCCATAACTAATTAATTTAACTACTTTTCATGAAATTTTGCGAACATTTCAGAATTAAATCTATTACAAATTTTCAATGTTGACAATTAGTGTCAACACGGTCAAATAGCGAGCTGCGACGTCATAGAAATAAATTCTGGGTTTTTATTTGGAGGTATTTCTTTTTTTTCTGTTTTCTCAAGAAGGACTATGAATTTTTCAAAAGTAAAAATACAGAAAATTCTGTTTTTAGTTGCTTTATCCAAATATGCCAATTTCAAAAAATTAGTGAAAGAGTCCATTGTAGGTATTTTTACTCATATTTTTATTAAGGGAGGTAAGTACCGCTTTTACTCCTACCAAAACATAGTCCATTTCCAAGATTTTGATAAGCTGTCATTTCGTTACGGATGGAAATAATAAGATGAAATTCTAGGGCCATAAAGAACTTGATGAGACCTTTAAAAAGAGGCATGACACGACCCCTATCCCCTATTCAAATTTTCGGGGTTGTTCTGTCCCTAGCTAGGGGGTTGAAGTTAAGGTGATGAAAAAAACTGACAAATTGTTCCCCCTCAAATCAAACATCGACGTGTCCAAGCGTTTTCCCAGATTCTCATCCCAAACCCAATAAATCGGGGTGGACTGTTTTCCCTAGGACCCTGTATAAAAAGCAACTATTTATTGTTGCTCTTTTGCATTCTCACCGCAATATGATTAGGTACATTATTTATTCTGTTCAAAGAAATCCAGAAACATAAATTTAGTGTTCAATAAAGCAAGTAGGAGTCTACCGTTGCTTGATTATGTATCAGTTTTATTTTTTTTTCTATTTTCTTGTATTACAATTGAAATTACAATTTTTTTTTTTCAGCAAAGTCCCAGCATTTCTCAATATCGTTGACATTGCCGGTCTGGTGAAAGGCGCTTCCGAAGGGCAAGGTCTAGGCAACGCTTTCTTGTCGCATATCAGCGCTTGCGACGCTATTTTCCATCTTTGCCGTAAGGATTGCGTAGCGTTGAAATTTTCATTAAATGATAATTTGTTATGCTCACAGGTGCATTTGAAGATGACGACGTCACTCACGTAGAAGGCGAAGTGAATCCCGTCAGGGATTTGGACATTATTGCTGAAGAACTGCGACTGAAAGACGAAGATACGCTATTGAAGAATTTGGAAAAGCTGGAAAGAACTGTCGTGAGGGGCAACGATAAAAAACAAAAACCTGAATATGTAAGTAGAAGTTTTAGCTTTTTACTACATGAATCGTTATTTTCCAGTTTTTATGTCTATTTGGGAATAAAGGGATTTCAAATTTAAAATATGACTAGAAGGTTTTTGGATGAGCTAATTGAATTAATCTGGAAGGAATAATAAGTTTCTGATATTCAATATTCCATTTTTTGAGGTTGGTTGAATTGTTTAAATCAGACGGTACCTAAATTGTTAAATCCTGAATAACTTTGCTATAGCATTTCTCGATTTTTTCTAGCAGTAATGTAAAGCAATCAGTCTTTAAAATGGAATTGTGGAAATACGATAAAGCATATACCTACTGTTTGTTTCACGAGGGTTTGTACTTTTGCCTTCCTTTTTTAACATATTAATGGTTCTTGAAACCAGAAGTCATTCAATACAATACAAAATCTGAACGCTATTGAATTTATATGAATCAATCTACGACAAACCTTTTTTTCCAAGTTATGACATTATGTCGGACATTATCAATGTTATAAGTACAAACCTTCATTAAATGAACCTTTCTTATTCCAAACTTTAACAGCATATTATAGAGAGGTTGATAGAAAAACAAATTAGGCGATTTTTTTAAAAAATACATCATACATCTTGAGCACAATCACTTTCAATGTAACATATAACTTTTCCAATAATGTTGGATAACTAGATTGGTTACAATTCCTGTTGAACTATCCTAAAGGCTATTTTTCACAATTGAATCATCAAAAAATGCATCCAAACCATCAAACATTATTATTACCAATGTGTAATCCTCAGTCAATAACTAGAAACACTTTCCGTTTTAATTTTTGAAACGCCCTGTATATAAATTATTTTTCATAGGAATCAGTTGTCATAAAATCTTTAGCATAATCAATCAAATACCGGCAGAACAATATGACAAGAAAATGACCAAGGATCGGCCAACGCTTTATGTTTCACAACATCCAAATAATACAAACACACACACACACAAAAAATAAAATAATTCAGATTCAATTACGAAAACGGTGACTTGCGGATTTTTTTCTCTGTTATACCAAGGATGATAAAATCAGAAAAAAAAAAGAAAGGTGAATGTTATGCTAATTATGGCGCATGCGTCACGTGTGGTCCATTATAAATTCCCTGTGGGGTGACGTTGTGACTTTGCGTTCGATATTTATCTGGCTTTTAACACTGTAGTTGGTATCATTTAAAGGCGGGAACATGATCTCACGGTCAATGAATAAACTCATTCAATAATATCGTATTAAAATCCTGTCTATTTTTTAATGTCGAGACATATGAAATAATATATGAAATAATAGGTTATGTACAGAATATACAAAATAGGATATTAAAAATTATTTTTAAAGTACGAAGCTCAGCTTTAAACTTAGCATATAGGGAAAATGTGATATTAAATATAAAACAAAATTACTACTATAAAACACTAATTTTAAATTACGAATATCTAAAAAATAAATATTTACAGAGACAGACAAATACTAGAAATAGAAATATTCCTAGTATACAAACTAATTTGGAAGTAGGTAAAAAATCATCATTAGTAAGTGCCACAAGACTGTATAATTTATTGCCAAAAAATTTAAAGAATGTAAAAAAAATCAACAAAACTTTCAAATGCAACATAAAGCATTTTTTCATTAGACAAAACATAAATGTATAAATCTTCAATTTCTATCGAATATTATAAAATTACAATGAATAATTTATTTCTCAATTACCTGATATGTATGAATAAATAGAAATTTACAGAAAAAAAAAAAAAAAATTATTAAAATGAATGCAAAACTTTAATTGTTCCTAACCAGTAAAAATAGTTTAGTTTAAGGATCTTTAGTTTTAAGTACCGGGCCTGTGCACAGACTTCTTGTCTCTTGCAGGGTAAAAATACTATGTAATTTACTGTACTATACACCTGGAATAAATGAATTTGAATTTGAATATAAAAAATTTAAAGAATCGCCAGAATTTGGCCAAGTTTGGGCTTTTCATAGCTACCACCTTGAGCATTCTAGTTTTATCACATTGATTTTTGAAATATTTTTGTTTTGTTTCAGGATGCTTTAGCTAAGGTTAAGACTGTCCTGGTTGACGAAAAAAAGCACATTCGATTTGCGGATTGGGACAGCAAAGATGTAAGTTTATGTTTTTTTTATTTTTAACCATATATGAAATGTTGTCATTACTGACTTTTCAAAAATTTGAAAATGTCACATTTCTGTCTTTTCATTTTCCTGCTCCATTAACTGTCCCAGGACGGGAAGTGAGGACGGGAAATTTTTTCCGTCCTCATTTCCCGTCCACGGACGGAAAATGGAGCAGGGAAATATTTCCCGTTCTCATTTTCCTCTTCATTTGCCGACCTCATTTGGTTGCCCCGAATTTTTTTTTTTCAAGAAATTATGGTTAAAAATAAAATAGTATACAACCCTCGACGGGAAACTTCATTGCTGTCTCGAGGTTCAACTATAAAACCTCTCGACCAGTAATGAAGCATTTCCCGTCTCGGATTGTAATATACTATTTTTTTTAAATTAGAGTTGTTTAAACATTCAAACTTGTCTAAGATGATTAGTATTAAGTATTACCGCGAAAATTGGGTTTCTACCTGAGATTTGACACATTTTATGGTCAGATGCCTTGCACCTATTTTTCCGTCATCAAATTTATCGAAGATTTTGGAGAAGCTAGTTAACAGTATCTTGGATATTAACTATAGGGAAAGCTGTGAAAAAGATGTCGGGTGTGGAAAATAGTATTTTTCTTCAGGCGGTCAGTAGTAGAAGGACCTTCTGGGATGAGCTGCCTTGGCTTTTGGTTACCTGCATGTGCATACAATCAGTACTCTTTATTGCTGGTCGCGTTACGACACAGAAGAGAGTGCATACTGCGATTTATGTTGAAAGGACAAGGAAGTCCTGTAAATCATTTTTTGTGACTCACTATCTGTTTACACTTTTTGGTTTCTGCGAAATGCTCATACAATTTCCTTACCAATATCAAATCTACACTACAATTATTTTTTATTATTTAAACCTTCACTTTGAAAAGAATCTGGTCGATAAATCCCCCACGTTTCGGTACCACATTACAACCAACTCCTATTATTGACAACAACATGTCGTCTACATTGTGCAACTCATTGTCGACCTTTTAGGCACCCCGCAAGTTTAGACAGGCTCGCGCTGAGAGTGTCAATATCGATAGCCGCAGAGATGTTCCCCCAGGTGGTGATATTATTATGCCACATTAGAATTGTACCCAGTCATGACGCAGCCAGGTCTCATTCCTAAATGGAATCATTCATTTGGTTAGATGCTATCTGTACTGTGTTTAATCAATGTTATTATCATTCTTGTATGTGCCTGTACCAGCGAACACCTACGTTTTGAATACTCTGTCGGTTTTTATTAGCATATGAATGACGGCGTAATATGTTTTTTGCTATAGTGTATGATCCGCTCGGATACATGGTGGATGATTGGATGTTCGTACTAGAAAATGTAGGGTCAAGAAAAATTCTAATTGAAATCCGTAGTACAAATTCACACTAAGGAAAATTAACCCAGTATCCAAGCTAAGTTGCCTAACTGACATGTGGTTTATTTATTTATTTATTTATTTATTTAGAGATATGCTTTTCAAACACCCCTGTTGGAGTAATTACAGGAAAAAAAGCAGTAAAAACAAAATTAATAAAAAAACATAACAAAAAAAACAAAATGTGAAAATCTAAAATGTAAAATAAAGAATAGTGTACAGCCAAGTTCTAAAGAATAATACTTTTCTTAAGCAGTTCCTGAATATGTCTCAGACTCAAGCCACAAAAATTTACAGACATGCGATTTTTTGAAATAAAATTACTGCCCTGTATTCAATGAAACGCCATGTATATTTTGTCATCGTTAGAAAGCCTCATTTTTCTATTATACAAAATAGTTATTTTTGTATCTAGTGCGCGAAATGCTATTATTTTTGGTTTTCTGTCAGATACCTAACAAATGTGTGAGAACGGGGCACTTCGCACACTAGAGAAGCATTTCGCGCACGGCGTCATGAGAACGCTAAAAAAGCCATACCTGGGAAAAAAAGTGTTACTTTGCAGAGGGTAAGTACCGGGTGATTGTCTATATTTTGCACCCACACCTATCTCACCTGTTTGAAGAGATACCCAGAAATGTCTAATGTGAAAGTTGTAGGTAATATCACAAAGTTTTCAATGATGTTAGTTACAAGTATACAGGGTGTGCCACAAAAGTGTGGCGAAGCAAAGTTATACTTTTTTAAATGGAAAACTTCGTATATTATTGTCCCATTGGATTAGCCTTTCAAACCTGATTCCAAATATACTAGGTTTTCTAGGTTTATTCCTCATAATCCAGCCTCTGAATATCCAATTTTGAAAAAATAAAATGGATTTTTTTATATGAATGATTACCTTTATATTTTGCTGGTGGTTTCTATACTTCACCTTTTTTAATAAAATATGCAATTATTCCACCCTTTTTTGTCCTATTTTTTCCTAGACTATAACAAATAAACCTAAAAATAAGTATATAAAAAATCAGGATTTCTGACGATGAGAAAATATACAGGGTTTTCGATTAAAAATAACGCAGTATTTTTATTTCAGAAACCACATGCCGTCTGTTAAACCAAATTTCATTTTTTATTCAACTAACAGCAATATACATATCTTCCAACGTTCAAAAAAGCAAATATCAACCAGATCTCAGAATTCTCTTTTCAAAAAAGTATCTTTTTTTTCAGATTGAAGTCCTGAATAAATACCTCTTTTTAACATCAAAACCCTGCATATACCTAGTCAATCTATCAGAAAAAGACTACATCAAGAAGAAGAACAAGTGGTGAGTAAAATTATATGTTTATTTTTAATAATTCCATTATTAAAATATATGTACCTATTCGAAAAGAAACTATTGAAGAATGAAGACTTAACTGATTGATATTTTATTAACACAAACTGATCAACTATTTATTAAATGCGGTCATTTCGTGTTATTGTAAGGATATGTTTTACTTTCGTGAGTTAGAGGATAGGACCAAAAAAAAGAAATAACTAAACATTCAAATTCGAAATAACAAGTTTCCCTAAAATATGTTGAGAAGTGCCTTTGTCCATCCTGAACGGACTCCAGAAACAATAGTTCAAGGCTTGAAAAAGGAAAAATATATTCCTAAACGTTGTCAAAAGCTTGATATGTAGTTTCTTTTTTTTTTGGTCTTAACCTCTAACCCACGAAAGTAAAACATATTTATTAAATTTTGCAAAATATTGTCTAACATTAGTAAGCATACGAATAAACGATAATCTAAAACATTACGAGTAAATTTGTGGTTTACTTATCTTGATTAACATGTTATAATTGCTAAAAAAGAAAATTCAATCATTGCTTTTGCCTTAAAAAATCAATCAAATGACAGGAAATAATTGACTCAGCCCTAGCCGCGGTCTTATGTTTTTCCTTAACAAACCACAAAAAAAAGGCTTTAGAAACCCAAATATAGCGTGCTCGTATTTAATGAACGACCTTACAAAGGCCGAGTAAATTTCATTTTGTTAACATGTGACAGGCGTAGCAAAATAGACAGGTAAAGAAGATTGATCTTTTGTTGTCGCCGAAGAATATAATTTTTTTTCGTTACTCAAAGCAACAACAGTATCAAACCGCAAATGGGTCAATATTGATGACAAGTTGTTATTAAATATTGAAGGGTTCTGATATATTTTATTTCTTATTTTAACCGCAAAATAGTTTTTTTTTTTTGGAAGGGGTGCAACGGTGTCGAATTTCGACTTTCGAAATAGTAATAATTATTATATATGGGTGATATAAAAATTGGTGAATTAAATTTTTCAAGCATAAAAAATGCGGTTTTTGGGAAACTTTTCTAGGTGTTAGGATCTATCAGTTTATAATAGGGTATTAAAATGGAACGAATCTCTTGTAATAAAGGTATACTTTCATGGATTTCTTTTATACGATTTCAATTCGAAGGGTTTTACTGACACTTAAAGCTTTATACCTTTATCGTACCATGAGATTTTATGTATAAGATTTCATGGCATATTAAGAGCATTTCTGAAATAATGGTTATTTTTGCTAGTAATGCACAATTCATTCTCTATAATACTTAGGTAGCTATAATTTCAAAGTGGCAGCTCAAAAAATTACTTATCAGAAAAAGCAACAACTATTTTTAAACAAGTTTAATTAATTTCAATTTGACTTATTTTATTTTTATTTAATTTGTAAATATTGTTTTTAATCAAAATAGTTTGTTGCTTGTGATGTGCAGGTTGGTCTTTCCGTATTTTGTAATCATTTTGAAAAATCTGATGAAAAAAAAAATGTTGTTTGAAAAGTCCAAATGAGTTGAAATTTTCAGGGATTTTAGTCCGCCATTGGGATAAGAATCGTTGAAAACTTCAGCTTTCTATCTTTAATAGAAAAAAAGTTATGACCTTTCAAAGTTTTCCAAAATCTAAATCATAAGGTACCTTCTTACTAAAACGATGAAATTTCAAACTTTTTTTGTTGAGATTTTGTATCCTAATGGTCCTTTGGGATCCCGGAAACTCCATACACTAGATTATTCTGAGATTTGGAGCCGGATTTCATGAAAAAAGGCACTCAGATAAATTAAAAATTGGTAAACCACCCCAAATTGCTTAACACGATTTTATTTTTGGAACTATAAGTCCAAATGAGCTGAAATTTTCACGGATTGTAGTCCTCTACTGGGACAAAAATCTCTAAAAATTTCAGCTTTCTATCTATAATAGAAAAAAAGTTATGACCTTTCAAAGTTTTCCAAAATCTAATTTATAAGGTAGCCTACCTTCTTACTAAAACTATGAAATTTCAAAATTTCTTTTGTTGAGATTTTGTGTCCTAATGGTCCTTTTGGATCCCCCAAACGATTCACTGTTAATTATTTCAAGTTTCCAGGTTAATTAAAATCAAGGAATGGGTTGACAAGAACGATCCCGGATCTTTGATTATCCCATTCTCTGGAGCATTTGAGCATAAATTAGTGAATGAATTCGAGGATAACGAATTGCGGAAGAAGTATATGGAAGATGTCGGCGTTACAAGGTGAGTTGTTCAATTTTTTTATTAACGTAATGACAATAAATAGAAAGGAATCAATATTTCAAATTTGTATTTTCAACTTGATTTTTTTTGTCCATATATTTATTAGGATAATTAAATTGATTATTTATGTTTGGGGATTCTCAACCCCTTGACATGCCCTTTGATTTTACAGAAATTCAAGGTTTCTGCTTGCAGTAACAGGAAGCTCACTTTATGACAGTTAAGGGAATTATTTTACCAAAATGAGAAAAAGGCATGGTTTGTATTTTGAGTCAGGTCCGGTTGTTGTACATTCTAATGCTCTAAAGAGTCATCCGAATCCAAAAATAAATTACTATATAGAAAAAAATCAATTTAAGTCGCAGACAAAAAACAATTTGGAACAAAAGTGGTTTCGGCTCTAATTTTTTTGCGGCACACCTTCGATGCGCCAAAAACGCTTCGAAAACTGTTTCCATTTATTGACAAAACTAATCCGGATCCAATCACGAAACAAACACTCCCAGTCTGTCGCGCCACTTAATCACCGGCAAGATGATGCCTCCGAAACGGCCTCTAATGACCCAAAAATACATTTTAATGGCCTTCCGAACAAAGTACGTTTTTTCTTTCTAGGTCTCCTTCTCCTTGGGGGCCGCCCCGGTTTATGAATTGACCATTTTAATGGTCATTTGGTTCTTTTTGTATGATTATTGTGATGATGACTGACGGAACAGTGACGTAGCACAACCATTTCTCATTATTTTAGTTTGAATATTGCATATTTTTTACTGAGCAGTGAGATTTTCTCTTTTGCAATAACAGACATTTTCAAGTCATTAGGAACAATTAAAATTTTGCTGCTCAGTAGTCTGATTGGCATTGGCACTTCAGCAAATAAATGAACATGAAAAGCCGTCAAAGTCTTTTTCTCAGCCCTTGACGTATATTAACAAACAATATATTTTCCTCATATCAGCTCAATATAATATGTTATTGGTTATTGCTATGAAATAATTGAAAGCTCCAAAAATAAATAATAAAACTATTATTTGCAGTAAGCATATTATATAAACGGGTAAATATACAAAACCGAACGCCACTGATAGTGTGTAATTTCTGATTACCCTGTCTTCTGTCCAAACGATCGTCGAAACTACAACCATGCACCCAAAAAGAAAAGAAAAAAAAAGTTAATGACAATAATTGCGGAATTTTTAATATAGTTTTTCTGAACGGGGGCCTGCCTCTGACCCAAATAGACTCGGGATCTCATTGTTCCGGAGATAAAACGTGAAACCTGTCATTATAGACGACTCATACAGTCTCACAAAATGATTCCCAGAATGGTACGTGTTCCAAATAATGGATTTATTTTGTCATCCATCTATTACTGCGCAATTTGCTGGGTGGTTAACTTGGATGAGTCGAGAAATTTGATTTTGTGGAATTTTAAAGCTTTTATTGGTAAATTATGGGGTAACTTGTGATCATGATCATACCCATATTTTTGTTGGTCTTACATCAGGTTAATTTCATACAGGCTCTATGAACTTGTCGCATTTTTGAAATCCAGTAGAGATTTGAAATATTATTTAAAAAGAATATTATTTAGTGTTGGTCCTATGTGGATCGTTTTAGCCCAGTTTTAGTACTGAACTTTAGCATATTTACGCAACAACTAATGACCTGAGAAAGAAAATTTGCTATAAGAGATTTTCTTCCTTCTTTTTTTTATTTATAAAAATTTCCTTTTTAGTGCTCTGGACAAGATCATTGTCCAAGGATACAAATCTCTGCAGCTGGAATATTTTTTTACTGCTGGTGCCGATGAAGTTAAGGCCTGGACTATTCAGGTAAGATTTTTTTTTTTTAATTTAATTTGATTTTCCCCCATTATCATTCATAAAAAATTAGGTTCTTTTGTTCAAAATAAAGTTGGATGTGTTTTAATCTGAGCCGCGTGAAACTTAAATTATTACCCTCCTCCGAATTTGGCAGAGTTCTCCAGCGCTTTTCCGCGGACGCATCCGAGAGCATTTTCATGCAAATTTCAAAGAGACAATTTCGGTGCTCTCAGGGTAATTTATTTGACTACTCGCCTTTTGGCATGGCAATTCAATAGGTTTCGGGGGCCCTTTTATTTTGCGGGCGCACATTCGGAATATTAGAATAACTTTTAGATTATGCAGAACAGAGTTTTCTGTTAGTAGTCGGGGCCCCCTTTCCCTGGAAGAAAATTAGGGAAATATTCTGAAAGAATACTGTCCTGAATAACGAAGTGGATTTGACTGGTTATTTTTTTTACAATTTTTTCGCATTTTCAGACAACATTATACTAGATTAAAAAACTAGCTGCCCTAAATTGTTTGCTGAATAATTTTTTGAAAACTATAAGCTTATTTCAGTTTTGAAATTAATATTCAATATTTTTATTCACCAAGAGCTTTTAATTTTACAGAAAGGTACAAAAGCGCCGCAAGCTGCTGGTAGAATCCACACCGACTTCGAGAAAGGTTTCATCATGGCTGAAGTGATGAAGTTCCAGGATTTCAAGGAAGAAGGTTCCGAAGCGGCGTGCAAGGGTGCTGGCAAATACAGACAGCAAGGTACATATCTAACTATTGAAAACGTTCACAGTGTGATGAATGTAATCAGAATATTTTTCTGGGAGAAGACAAACTGAACAAATGGCTACAAACTTGCAAACTTGAATGCTTGTACTGTAATTTCGATTTCCTGAAAGTATTCTGATTTGGTACAATATCTTAAATTTCCAGTCAGTCAAGACCCAGTTACGAGATTCAAATTATCAATGTTATAAACGGTTGGGAAAAAGTGAAACTAATTTTACAATAAGTAGAGATGGATCCATTATCATGTTTAAAACTGAAAATATTTTCTTTTTTTTTAGGTCGTAACTACACTGTAGAAGATGGCGACATAATATTTTTCAAATTCAATGCTGGCGCTGGTTTGAAGGACGCAAAGAAGAAATGATCGACACTCTCGGTGACCATATGCATTATGGTTTATCTCTACATCAATATGATTTTCTTTTTTTCAAGTTATAATAATTGCTGATTATGATTTATTCGAGTGTGGTTTTCTATCAGTTATTGTTAGGCTTAGTTTTTCGTTCTTATTCTATCTATAATCATCGTTTTAGTTACATTTGGAAATTTATTACATATAGAATACCTACTTTATCAAATAAATTATTATCATAACAAAATAGTAGTTTTTCTTGCTAATAATCATTTTCTGATCTATTTTCCAAAATACATCAAAAAATTACTCACAGTAATAATGCACCTCACACGTTAATGGCCAGTAATATGCTATTCCGCAAAAACAAAAAAGTAACCACCAATTAAAATCATATCACTTACTTTTGTTAAATATCATAACTATTTTATCCAACAAATAGTTTTAGTTTTAAGTGAAGATCCCAATTCGGTATCAGATCTGAAGGTAGTACCCACTTGCCTGAGAGAAAGGCATGTTCAAAACATACATGTAGGCAACTTATGATTGGGACAAGTTTTTCGGGCTTTTGTAAGGAATTGATTGAAAATTTACACAGGTAAGCATAATATGAACTTACCATGTTTAAAAACATAGACAAAATATGTAGGTACTGATTCCAAATTTCTTATTACCAAGTTTACAATACAGATAATAATACTTGAGCAAAGAATGCCATGCAGGGTGCCCCCTCATCAACTTACACATGTTACCAGAAATTATGAAAGATAGCGAGATGCAGTTTGGGCTGGGGGAATCAAGGTTTTTTTGAAGTTTTTTCGACAGTGCGGTTCAAAATAAGCCAGGACTTGTTTTTCCACACATGGCTATAATTACTCTCCTATTTTTAATAGGTCTGTTTCTGCAGAAATCACAAAGCAGTCAGAGTGAATTTCATTGATTAAAACTAGTTTTCTGACTGTTTCTAACTGTTTTCAACCAATGAAGTTTGCTCTGACTGGTTTGTGATTTCTGCAGAAACAGACCTATAGAATCATTCTGTAAAGGATCCCGCACCAGATGCATGGGATTTGGGGTTTCGGTGAAAATCTGTGAAATTTTCAAATTTTGTATAAATTTACATGCTGATTAAAAGTCCAAATGACAAATATTTCATAACCTCCATAGTATGCCTTCTATAGGCTCTCCTATTCCAGACCCTTTTTAATCTTTACAGAATGTTTATTGATTTGTTTATTTATTATTTTGGTGTATTTGTATTTGTCTTTTGGGGTTCTTGTTTGTTTAAGTGTGTATTAGCCAGGTAGATCCAATGTGACTCTCTTTATGTAAATGCAGCTAAACGAATTTTTAGGTATTGCTATGGATTTGGCGGATGCGCAAGTATTGCCATTTTTAAGATAAGTGGGCTCCCCACTTCATTGTGTTATCTTATCGCCTTTCTACTAATTTTTAAACTGTACCGCATCAGCTATAAAACAAGAACTCCAAGAAACAAATACGAATACACCAAATTAATAAACAAATCAATCAATAAAGGATAAAAGGTTCTTTTGTAGGTATTAAAATCCAAAAAGGTCAAAATCGGATTAGTACCTATTTTTCGAGATATTAAAAAAAAATCTATGTAAGGATATTGCCTCGGATATTTCCTATGCATAGCATACCAGGACCTGCGTACTGTGACAAGCTATATCTGCTATCACAGACATACTTACGATCCTCTTTACATTTTAATTTTTCTTTTTGGCAATGGTGATACTTATAAACGGCCATAATGGCCATTTCTACCAACTATTTTAGGGAAGCTCTAATGGTAGGTATGCCTTAAACTGATATTTCTCTATGTAAAAATGTCATTTTAGGGAATACTTATCGTTAGGGCTTCCCTAAAATAATTGGTGGGAACGGCCATACTGGCCATTTCCACCAACTATTTTTAGGAGAGCCCTAACGATAGGTATGCTTTAAACTGGCATTTCTTCATGAAAAAATGTCATTTTAGGGAATACCTACTTATCGTTAGGGCTCCCCTAAAATAGTTGGTGGAAACCGGTGGAAACGGCCATAAGTGTCCTAAAATCGTTGTACCGATTTTGGAAAAAAATGGACACAATTCTTGGTGTCAAAAGATGAATATGGAACCCTATCGAAAATCATTAGAAAAAAAAATAAAAACCCTATTTGAAACATGTTTTTCCATATTTTCAAATTTCAACCCATAAAGGTGCATCCAGACCGATGCAACCTAGATGCAACAAACAGCGCAAAAAGTTCGCGAACGTTGCAGAACATGTCATTTTGGACGGTTGCGTGCTCAGACCTGCTCGCGCGCGCTCTGTTTTGCGCGGCGTAAAATCTTTTCCTTTCCATGCAGTGTCGGTACATAAACAAAAAACTGTTGCAGCAGTTAAGACGTTATCCGCACTGAGCGAAATGCTTATCGCAAAACTTGCGAACGTTTTGCGCTGTTTTTTGCATCGGTCTGGATGCACCTTAAAGCCGGGAACACACTTTCGACACGATACACGTCACGCTACGAGCCGGCGCGTACCGTGACGTGTAAAGCCGCGTACAAACCGAATTTCCAACGTAGACCAACACCAACGGACATGTGTTGTCATTGGCGTTGAAATTCGAAAGCATTGAAAAGGATTTGAGAACATCGTCCACAGAGAGCGAGAGCCGTACATGCCAAAGCCAACGCGTTCCAACATAGTTCACATATGCCGTTGACTAGCGTTGGAAATTCAGTCTGTACGCGGCTTAATAGAAATTTAAGCTCAGAAACACACTCTTTGCTTAGACAACACGCTTCATATACCCTGTACCGACACTGATTAAGTTTTTTCCGCGTAGGTACATGAGATTCACGAAACGAGAATCATTGGGCGAAAAATAATGACTCATGTTCCCGTACTTTTTTAATTAATAACTTCTCCATTTTTGTTTTTCAAACCACAAAAACTAACCAAACAAACATACACAAGTTTCCACAAAACTGCTTCCATGCCCAGTGTGAGGAGAGTGTGGATTTCCACAAATCAACGACAAGCGCAGACACGCGTGTTATGTGACGTTAGCGTACCGTGTCGTGTAGCGTCTGTGATCGAAATCCATAAAAAGACACGTAAAATTGAAAACCTCATTTTAGTACTGCAACGGTACTGCACGCGCCAGCCCGTAACGTGACGTACTGCGTCAAAGGTGTGTTTCTTAAGAGTAAGACTATTTCATATTTCTTTGCACTCGGAGCGTTCCCATGCTTTCTGATCACTCGTCTTCATCGAACAGAATTATTTCCCTCCACCAACTCGCTTGAAAGTTTTTAAAAAAATATCCCACATGGATTTCTAACAATTTAAAAAACTGATACTACTCAGGACGTTAGGAAAACGCTATAATGTGAATCCGATGTCACCGAATTTCAGGTTATATTTATTTAATTAGGTATATATTTGTAAAGTTAAAATATCCAAAATCCAAATTCAACACAAGTTAAGGTAATTATTATTATTGTACCTACATATTATAGAGAGAGGTGAATTTATTGTTATTTATAGAAATAATAATTTCGTTCTTTTGAACAAAATGCTGACAAAAATAAAGTTAACTCATATATCACAGCCTATGGAGGAAAGTCATCTTCTAATTTAATCCTAATGGTAGGAACGTCCCCCACATCCCATTATATGATTTGGGTCTATATCCTATCCAGGATGCAAAATTATGTAATACGGAAACTGATCAAGATGTAGGCTGGCAGAAATTGAATCTGAAATTATTGTATCCTTGAAAACCAACAAGAGAGTCTCTGTTACACTGGCTCGTTACAAAAATACTGATGAACATTTATTTTTTGGCTCCAATCTCCAATTAGTGCCGAACCATCTAGGTCAACTTTAACAATAGCAGGTAAAGCGTAAATTTATTATTTTAAATAGATTTTAAATAAAATTTTCTATATCACACAGCAGTAAGTAGTATTAACTAGTGAATTTTTTATCTTGAATCGCAATAATAAATAATATTTAATAATTGATATATTTTATCAGTGATGTTATGTTTGATACCGTGCAGTAATTTCATTAACTTTGAAAGTGTAATTTACGAGATAACAAGGCATTACCAATATGTTATATCATGAGTGTTTATATTAGAGTTTGTTTATGATTTCCATTAGAGTAGCTAAATTATCACATTTATGTAGGTTCGAGCGTGGTTCGCGTTGTTTCTTGTTTTTATTATTAGGCGAGCTTGGTTTTTAAATATAATTGTGAAAATGTTGAAGCATCAAATGTAGGTAACATATTAAGAGAATAACTATTAATAGTGGTTGGTAGCTTATTGATATTATGTTCAAAACAAATTTAATTTAAAAAATAGTCCAACCTATAAATTTCCAAATATTTTTATCCGAGTTTTTATCCCTCAAAAAGAAGTGTTTATTAGTTTCACAATTTTTCAACTTCAAGTAAATATTATTTGTTCAGTTTTTCAGCAATGGATCAATACTTCCTTGGCATAGATATTGGAACGACATCAGTAAAAGTGTGCATTATAAATACAAAAGATCACACAGTCCAGGCTCAGCATGGAAAAGATACCCAGTCAAATGTACCAAGTGATACAGGGCCTGGAGGAAATAAGCAGGATGTTTCTACTATTATTTCGGCTGTAAATCTCTGCGTATCAAAGTTACCAAAGCAGTTGCTGCAAAAAGTAAGTAGGCAATTAGCATTATTTTGACTGTTTTGATTTGATATGAACTGCTCTCCTTGAAAGAAAATTTCTTATACCAAGTAAAAATGTATTTTTTATTTTTGCTTTTATTTATTACAGATTATGAAAATGTCTCACCCTATGTAGGTATCCTAAGTGATTAAATATTTTAGTGTGTGCCTTATGGCTGAAAATAATAATAAGGGTAACATAAATTGTAAGACAGGTACTGTTTATAATTATCAACTCTACAATGTGGTTAAAATATGGCTCTATTGATAAACATTCTATTCAGAATGTATTTTAAGGAACTGAACATGTTTGTGCTTACATTAGTTTTTGTTATTTATAGAATTTTTATTATTTCATTTTGAAAATATTTTTTGAAGCAGGAAGCAAAGCTTAGACATGTAAATTGTAACAGCAACCATGATAGAATTTGGTAAATAAAGGAAGCTCATGATGTGCTATTAATAATTCCATTAAATAATGGCCGTTTCCACCAACTATTTCAGGGGAGCCCTGCCCCTAACGATAAGTATTACCTAAAATGACATTTTTACATGGAGAAATGTCAGTTTAGGGCATACCTATCGTTAGGGGCAGGGCTCCCCTGAAATAGTTGGTGGAAATGGCCATAAGTACTATAAAATTATTTTTTTACTACTAACCTGAGAAATAGTCATTATTCAATCTATTTTTCTAGGAAAAAATTGAATTTCTCTCCGTAGGTTAATAATGAAAATAATGAAAGAATACCTAGGTTAATAATGAAAATGACGTCATGACGTCTGACGGATATATAAAAAAAAAAAATACAGGTTTCTGTAGGTACATAGAAAAATTAAGAAGAAAACAAAAATTCAAGATCGTAAACATCAAAAAATTTGCAAAAATATGGCGGCAGGGGCGTGGCTAACTTCTATATTCATCTTCAAAATCTGCAAGAATATGGCGGCGGTACCGAATTTCTATTCTAAAGTCACTGTAGGTGGGCCGGGGCCATTGGAAAGGGTTGAAAAGGAAACAACCAATCAAATACCTTGACGATACATAAACCCCGGAAAGGGGCGGGGCTCAACTAACCAATTAAATGCCCTGCTGATATCAGTCGCATCTGATTGGAAAGGGGCGGGGCTTATATCCAACCTATCAAATGCTTTGTTGATATCCTTGCGTTTGATAACGAGTCAGCCACAGTGTTGCCAGCTTGACGGAATTATCCCCTTTTTGCCTTTTTGAGGAATTTTTTTATTTTCGTTCCCAAAGGGTAGAAGCGGAACGCGGAATTTTTAAAGTCTGTTTTTTTTTTTAAATAAAAGTCAAAATGACATTATGTTCGCAAAACAATGTTGAATTGTCGATGCTTCCAAATTTTTTATATAGAGAAGGCTTGTGTTGCCAACATAGTTACTAAATTTTTGACTTGGGGAATTATCTTTAAAAAAAAAACAGACTTTACTTTTTCTTTTATTTAGTCGCAAAATTTTCATATTCACTGAAAAATTGGTAATTTTAAGTTTCTAGCACACGATATACAATAGGTATACAGGGTGGGCCATTGAACTTAAGACATTATTAAACTTTTTTTTTTTCAAAAACGCGCCATTTCCGAGATATTGAAATGTCTCAATTTAAATGGACCACGCTGTATAAGTATGGGTACAACATCTCATTCCCGAATGTAAGTGAAGGCGCAATAATTGTTTTTTTTTCCACTATCGCGCGTAAAGTACTTACGTCATGCACCTTTTAGAAGACATAAAATGTTATGCACCAGTGCGTAAAGTAGTTCTTTTACTACTAACCTGGAGAAGTAGTCATTAGGCCTATTCGGGTTTGGAAAAAGGACGGTTCTAGAACGGTTCAAAACAATCGTCCAGTTTATTGATCAACAAAATAACAACGTTTCGACTATCACAAATTTCAATAATAAACTGTGCGATTCTTCTGGACCGTTCTAGACCCGTACCCGAATAGGCCTATTATTCCATCACAATAATGAAAATGACGTCATGACGCAAGGATATTGTCATAACGTAACAGGTTTTTATTGGTTTAATTTCAGTGTGCGCCTCGGTTTATAAAAACGCTCGGTATATAATGACCAACTTCTCTACCTAGGTATATAATGTACTATTTCTTCCTAGGTTAGCAGGATTGGTATCTGTGGCCAAATGCATGGAATAATGTTCTGGAAGACCGACTCGGACCAAAAAGCTTGGGAAATTATTGGAAAGGGAAAAAGTGTCAGATTCGATGTGAGAAAAGAGAAAGTCTCAGCTCTGTATACTTGGCAGGACAACAGATGCGATCCAGCTTTTCTAGCCTCTCTTCCTGAACCTGAAAGTAATTTGAAGATTGCTACTGGCTTTGGGTGTGCAACGATATTCTGGTTTACTAAAAATAAGTATGAAGTCATTCATTATAATTGTATAAATAATTGAAAAGAAATTATATTCTAGGCCTGAAAAACTTAAGAAATTCAATTGTGCCGGGACCATCACTGATTTTGCAGTTGCTATTTTATGTGACCTGGATAAACCTGTGATATCCAACCAAAACGCCGCATCATGGGGATATTTTAATGCCAAATTGAACTCGTGGAATACTGGAATTTTAGAAAAAGTTAGCTTTCCGGTTGAATTGCTGCCAGAAATTCGAAATTCTTGTAAATTTGCTGGTCATCTAGTGGATATTTGGCATGGAATTCCCAAGGGAACACCGATAGGTAAGAAATTACTTATTAATCTGTTACTGACCATTTTCAAGAAATCCCATTTAGGCTCGTAGTTATTTATTTATTCATCATATAAAGGGGTTGTACCCAATCGTACATAAGTATGTACTCAACAAAATTAAAATTATTGAAGTTACTTATTACAAATAAAATAAAACAAAATAGTATGGTAGCATTTTGTCTAAATTTAAGAGTGCGCTTCTCGATGTTGAAAATCGCGTTTGCGACTATGCTGTTTTAATGAAAACAGTTGCATCTAGGAAATTCTAACCAAAAACTGTTTTCAAGGATATATTTTTGTGCTTGTTTGACCAGTAAATTTTTGATTTTTCTCATTTTACGAAAAACATTTTTGGAAAAATGAGAAATATCAAAAAAAAGCACAGCACAGCACAAAAGTACATTCTTGAAAACAGTTTTTGTTAGAATTTCCTAAATGCAACTGTTTTTATCAACATAGCATAGTCGCGAACGCGAAATATCTATGTGTTCAGCATCGAGAAGCGCACTCTTAAGGTCAAAATGAAAGAAAAATCTCAAGTCTCAGTTAATGAATTTCAAGTGCGTTTAAATTAACCAGGCCAAACTCTCTATGAACTTGATATGGTTAGCACAGTCAAAACTTTGAATAATTTACTAAAAGCAAAAGCATTGACCCTAGTCATATACTCAACTTTATAAGACCCAAATCAGATTTTTCGAATAGATTTTTCAAATAGAATATAGATTAAAAGATTTAACCATTCAAATTTAATTTCAGGTGTAGGTTATGGTGACATCCAATGTTCTGTATTGTCCACTATTGAAACTCATTCTGACGCTGTATTAAACATATCAACTTCTGCGCAAATTACTTTTATCGCCAAAAACTACCAGCCACCTAGTAAGCCTATAGCAAACGCTTCAATTGAATATTTCCCTTACTTCAATAAACAGTTTATTGCCATAGCCGCATCTTTGAATGGTGGAAATAGCTTGGCAAGTTTCGTGAGAATGTTGCAACAGTGGACATTGGAGTTAGGATTCAACGTGCCTCAATGTAAGTAAGCTATCTATTTTGTTAATATAATTTTATTTTATTTTTCAACGGGCAGCTGCCCAATATAAAGAAAGTTAACAATAATAACAATACTTAACACGTTCGCTGCCAGAGAGATTTCGGTTGATCGGGTCCAAAATGCCAATGCTGAAAAACTATATTTTATCATCGGAATAGGTCTACATAACATAAAATATTCATCCAAAGTAGTACCTGACCCATATTTTTGCAAAAAAATACCATACCATACCATACCAAGGACTACCATGTTTGAAAAAAAATATTTTTTGTCCAACTATGTCTGCGTGATATTCTTATACATGTCCCGTAGGCCAGGTACCCCCATTAGCCTGTATTTACAACGAATATACTTGTACTTGACTTTGAACGACACGATGCAAAATACGAGTTATCTCGTAGGTACCTGTAATAAGATTGTCTACTACGAGTTAAGTCGTACTTGGCAGTGAACGTGTTAAACTTAATCAAGACCTAACCTAAGTATAACAAATCCAATTTATCCCAGAGCTCTGAACAACCAACAGTAAACAGCCATTAACAGCAACATAACAATTCTAAAAACTAGGTATTCAAGTAGAGTAAGTACCAGAAAGGAAAGATAATACTGTTTCAATGAATTTAGTTACATGTAGGAGCTCACAGACAGCCCCTTAGTTCCTTCTTAAATATTTTTTGAGTTTGAAAACAGTCTAAATCGTTTGAAAATTTATTTGCTAGTCTAGCTGATCTAGCCAGGAACGAGTTACGGCCATAGTTGGTACGATGGAAATCAATTCCATAGGAATGGTTTAGTCTGGTTTGGCAAGAGGGAACGTGAAGCCCAATTTTGTTTGTGAACTCAGGGCCATGAGAATTTGAGTGAAGCAAACTATAAAACATAGAGAGATCTCTGTGCATAGTACGAACCTGAAGGGATTAAGTCGAAGGGAGTTTTACAATTCAGGGTAATTTATGTTATCGACTCTATGATGTTCCTTGAATTATAAGAGGGAGACCACACACAAGAACAATAATCAAAATGTGGTCGCACCAGTGAACGGAAAAGCAGCTTGAGGGAAGGGATATTTAGAAAGTCTTTAGTACTGCGTTTGATAACGCCCAATACTTGAAGTGATTTAGAAACAACTGATGACAAGTTTTGTATGTAAGTTAGGTGGCTGTCAAGCAATACTCCCAAATCTTTTATTTGAAAAGCCAGCAATAAGGGCGAGCCTCTTATATTATAATTGATGGATGGGATTTCTTCCACAGCTGAAGATCAGTAATTGGCATTTATTAATATTTAGTTCCATTCCATTAAGATCGCACCACTTAGATAAATGATCTAAATCAGATTGAAGTTGATCAAAGTCATTCTGATTTTGGATTTTCATGTAGAATTTTAGATCATCAGCAAATAGTAAAAAAAAAGGTGAACACGAAACAGAATGCAATATCATTTACGTAAACATTGAAGAGTAAGGGTCCTAGATGTGACCCTTGCGAAACACCTGATGGAACTTTAATTTCGGTGGACTGAGAGTTGTGGAATGAAGCAATTCTTCAGACCAGTAGACCAATAGTCACAGGCTAAACTTTCAAAAACTTTTGGAATACAACTGAAAATACTGATAGGCCTGTAATTATTGACCTGAAAATTGTCACCTGATTTTAGTATAGGGGTAATGAAGCTTATTTTCCAGTAGGTTGGAAAAGTTCCAGATTTGAGGGAAAGATTGAAGATAATATGAAGTGGTCTTGCAAAGATGAAACTACAATATTTGATAAGGTTTAGTGGTAGACCATCCGGACCAGTTCCTTTCTTTTATTTATATCCAAACTTTGATAACCTTCCATAAATTGATGAGATTGGTATATTAAAATGGGAAAGTTTGATGTCACCAAAAGGTAGAGAGTCATTCAGGGTACAGTCCTCGTCACTATACATTTTTGAGAAGTATTCAGCAAACAAATTGACATTATCCTCAATTATCCTCTCCCACAGAACAACTTACATCATCAAAGTACATGACTGATGGTATATAGCTTTTCCTTTCTGCCATCCACAAATTTCCAAAAACTTTTAACATTGTTGCTGAGAGACAATTCAATTACAGCTATTATTAGAAAGGTGGTGAAATAATTCACTTTCGTCTTGGTAATAAGCCTTTATTTTGCATAAATTTCCAATGTTACACGTTCGTTGTAATCCCATTGAATGTACAGCCATAAACATCCAAAAACCCTTATTTTCTTGCTGCTAAAGAGAGAAAAAACCTAATGTTGTTTACTGTTTAAATTTTAAATATTCTCCACTCACAGAATTAATGGATTTATTTTATTCGATACTGATAATTAATTACTAAGTAGGTATCTATAACAATAATATAATTTGGTATCCTTAATAATCTACTATAACAACAACAGATAACATCTACTTAAATATTATAACAAAATACATAACACTATATAATTAACATAACATTGTGTTTTTAAAGATTTACATTTTGCTCTCAAATTAGAAAACTTATTATAGTCTGAATAAAACCCTGAATAATTAAGATATTTTTTTTTGTGTGTTTTCATTTTTTCTATTATTAATTCTTTAAGTTCTTGAGAAAACCAGATGGGCAATTTTTTAGCTGAAATCTTGTTTAAAGAAATAAAAATATCAACTGTTAAGTGAGCAATATCGTGAAATATGTTGACCATGTCATCAAGGGATTTGTTATTGAATAACGTGTCCCATTCGAACTAGGACAAAAAAGTAATCACTGCGTCAATGTCTACTGATTGAAAGTCCCTATAATAGCCGCCACCCTTGAGACCAGAGCTGTTATAATGAATGGATTCACATTGTATGAAGCCAATTTTTCTTTGGTCCACAGACTGTTGGGTAGGTTGAAGCCATACAACCTGCGGTCTGGGTATGTGTCGGATCGTCTTTCTAGATTCTCGCCAAATTCTGCATATTTTTCATAGGAACACCTGGGTGGAAAGTAAGCTGCGGCAAAGATGAATTTGGTTTTGTTGAATTCAATTTCAATAAATAGTTGAACAATGCTCTTGGTAGCTCATAAAATTTTGCTACTGATAGTTTTACTGATTGCCACTAGAACCCCTCCCCCTCTTGTGAAACCACTAGTATCTGGTGTATTCTTTCGTTCTGAACAAACTGATTGCTTTCAATTTATCTGATTGCGTTCACTTGTGGGCTTCTTCTTTTGTCTCCGGTCAATTCCCCCACTCCATCTTCTAAACTGAATAAAGTGAACAGATGTTTGCTGTCCCCTTAACCCTCAAGCACAACCTCGGATTGCCGATTACTTCGTTCATTTACAAAGAATGTAAACAAACGTCTTCTTTTGTAACAACTGAACAAAACTAAAGTGAAACTGAAGTGATTGCTCTGTTCAGATTAATTTAATTCAGTTTCACTTATTCATTTCGTTCAGAACGAAAGGATATTACTATTAGTAGATTTATCCTTGCAGTATGTAGTTAAACATCTGTAGCTCCGCGCTGTCTATGTCATTTGTCAACCATGTTTCACTAAAGACTAGAATGTCATATTGAGAATATAACACGTTCTCAACAAGAAGTTGTAGTTTTGTGCGCAGTCCTCTTACATTCTGAAAATATATCACCAGAGATGACATGATTGTTGATTTTTGATGGGAAGGCTTATTTAGGTTTTTTTTTACCAGTTTAGAAATGCCATTAAAGTACTTTAGAATAAGGAGGAATGAAAGTTGTGTATTTTCGTGCAAAATATTTAATTTTTCAAAATCAGTGCAGAGCGCTTTCGGCCTTAGGCCATCATCAGTGCTACCTGGAAGTAAAAGGGAGACCTTAACTTTATAAAATAATGCTAAAAAAGGAAAGATTGAGAATGGGGTCTAGCCTACTTACTTCGTCAGGTAATCAGTGCAGAAAATTCAATAAAATCGGGACGACACATTTCCCGATTTTATTGAATTTTCTGCACTGATTACCTGACGAAGTAAGTAGGCTAGACCCCATTCTCAATCTTTCCTTTTTTAGCATTATTTTATAAAGTTAAGGTCTCCCTTTTACTTCCAGGTAGCACTGATGATGGCCTAAGGCCGAAAGCGCTCTGCACTGATTTTGAAAAATTAAATATTTTGCACGAAAATACACAACTTTCATTCCTCCTCATTTCCAAGCGTGCACACAGCCTTCAACCTTTGACTTTAGAATAAGGTCATCACTCTCCATTTTGTTGTCTCTCCCTAAACTCAGTTTTAAGAGCATTTACTTCTGTGTGCTGTTCATAGTTATAGGGTCGGCCTCCAAGAATATTTTTAGGCTCCGTTCTATATATGTTTTGCCTCTCAGCACCCTGTAAACAATATCAGCAGACTCCAGAGCCAGTCGTAAGGACTGATTACCATTTTTGTTACGCTTTCCGATTATCATTGCGCTTACAACAGTTATAGGAGAACCAACCAGATCCTGTAATAAGCTCTTTGCTCTGGACAAATCATCTTCTTCATTGACCTCCGGACAGTTAAACAACATCAAATAACAAGACTTTTTTTGCCTTTCAGATACCTCTTGGAGGACCTTGCAAGGGACAACCGCCGCGCTATATCCTAGGTGTCCATTTTCACTAGTTTTTACAAATGTGGGCAATTTTCACCTTGCTAATGTGTTTTCTAGGGCAGTGACACTAATATGTAGATTAAGTGCGTTTTTAATTCCTGTTCTACAATAGCTGCACAAATACGGGATGTTTCGTGTAGACAACACCAGACATCTGATCTCAGTGGAACTGAATCCAGCACAAACCCTACACAAAACCTTCCTGCAAAAGTCGCAAGGGAAGCCAAACACCTCTCCCACATTCTTTGGCTCCTTGAAAATACAGTTTGTAGAACACTTGTTGCATGTGCCAGACATTTTGAGGTTTGGTTTTGTTAATTAAGAAATTCTACATAATTTTACTATTTTCTTTTGAATACAATTCATGAAAATGACATTTCCGGATTTAACTCCGATGTTCCTTATTACTAAAATGTATACAGAGTCATTTTACCGACCTCATATCTCCTAGATATAGTTTCCCTCCATATTTTGAACAGATAATAAAGGGTGATCCAATTAGTGCTTAAGTATTTTAAAATGAAATAAAACACAGACATTGCTGTGCCAAATTGTTCCCATTTTATTCGAAAGACCAACTAATTACAATTATGTTTTAAAAATAATATCGGTCAAATGACCTCCACGGCTTAATTCACAATAGCGAATTCGATCAGTCCAATTTATCATTACCTTTTCACACATTTGGGCCGGAATCTCAGGAATAACCGCTTTTGTAATAACAAAATGGTTTCGGTGGCGGTATGGTACGTAGCGCCATACTGTTGGAACCAAAATATCTCCAGTTGGTTTTGGATGAATATTAGGAAGACATAAATCGTTGTTGAGAACGATGTCTAACAGACAAATTTGAATTATCTCGAACACTGACTTACAGCTTCAACATTTTCTGCTGCCATAGGGCACATTTGAAAAATAATTTTATAAAACCATAACAATTACAGTATGTATTTTGGTTTTAGCGAAAGTTTGGGAGAAAGTATTAGTCTTAAGTGAAGATTCCAGTTCGGTATCAGATCTGAAGATAGTGCCCACTTGCCTAGGAGAAAGGCACACGCCCAATGCTAGTGCTTCTATGCAAAACATACACGTAGGCAACCTAGGATTGGGACAAGTTTTTCGGGCTTTGTGCAAGGGATTGTTAGAAAATTTACACAGGTAAGCATAATGTTCAATAATCTGAACTCACCTTGTTCTTACACAGACAATTTTTTCTAGTATGATGCCAAAAGAAATTCTACAAGAAGCAAAAATAACCAGAATTGTAGGCAATGGTTCGGGACTTTCTAGAAACAATGTTCTACAGAAAGAAGTTCAAAATTTGTATCAATTACCTCTTGTATTCACTACAGGGGGTGATGCTGCAAAAGGGGCCGCAATGGCAATGGCTATGATAAGTGATTTATAAAAAAGGAAGTGAAATTGTAAGAATGTGAGAACTTCACCAAAGAGTTATTAGATTTTTTCTTATTTATATTTATTTTAACCGGGTTAGTTCCTTTTTATTAGTCATAAGTCTCTATAACTCCTATAATTTTTGTAAAACTTCTATTTCTTGTAATTGCTGTGAATAGTATATTTCATTACCAGTCCAGAAAAAAGGATTTTTCCGTACGCGCGTGAGGCGCAGCGCAGCCGAGCACGGGAAGTCATGCAAGAACGGAAAAATCCATTTCTGGACGTGTAATGAACGATATTTTTTATTATACTTATCTGAAAACGATAAAAACAGAAAATTCTCATTTTTTAAAATGGCATGAATATTACAAAAAAACAGTCAAAAATAGGTACAGTCGTGAGCATTGAAAGTGGGACTCCTGACTCACAGGTCTTGTAATTTTTCGCTATTTTGGGTAAATTAATCTTTTTTGTACAATAGATTTTTTGTCAAATATGACAATCCCTGTCATTGCCGTAAGTACAGCTGGTGAGTTCGTTTTACAATAGGAAGAATCGGGTGTCCCACTTTCAATGCTCACGACTATACATGGGTAAATGATGGTTGTCACAGAAACTTAAATCGTTTTTTATTTTTCGGGGTGCATTTATAATAAGATATCTTTGTTTAATTTCTTATGAATGACAAGGATGCAATATTGTCTGACGTCTAATCTACTTAGCGCACGGAAACAGAGATCGGGAAAAAACTTCCGTGCGCTGTTCTGGAAATGTCACCTTTACTTTATTGTGGAGACAGGTGAAAAAGAGGTGTTTTCAGGTAAGTATAATAAAAAATAATTAATATAGCCAAATTGAAAATAATATAGTTATCATTAAATCAATCTTCTTACCAGAATTAAATAAACATTCCTAAAACTAGCTACGTTTGAAAAATATATGTGAGCTCTGTATAGATAAAAAACATAAATGTTTTTAGTTGAAATGCCAAAACTTAATTTATGACTGAATAGTTTCAACATATTTGTGAAAGAGTATGTTCCAAAATTAACAGGCTGTTCTAACTCTTTAACTGTAGTAAAATGCAGATTGTTGCTGAGTATAATAAAAATGAGATTCTGCATACCTAATAATTTTTTTGACATTGATAGGGAAATAGACTATTTACAGTTGTATGTTCCAGTACGATTTTACCTTGATTTGTTATTGGAGGAAGCAACTGCTTTTATACATAAAATTCAAGTGTCTTCACTGATAGGCTGAATGGTAACGACTGGAACGGAAGAAGAAGCAATGTTGTTCAAGTCGGCCCTATGATAGGTTTAAAGTTATTATGCAACCTATCAATTCTAGTGACACTATACTGAATACATTTCATAATAAATGAAGATAGCGTCCTTGTTATGAGATAAAAGATTGTTCCATACAAACCAATAAGAGTAAGGATACTTTAGAAACGAAATTTCAAATTCCCAAAAAGTTTTGTCGAGTGCCTACTCTGGAGCATTTTGAACTTATTTATCATAGTGTCGTGCTTCTACCAGGAAAAACAGGTCAAACAAATGAATAAAAGTCAACTACAAAGGACGATAAATGTTTATAATGAAACTCCCAAATTTCATAATACAATAATGTATATTGGGCTTATAGGTTTTTTAAAAACGAAATATTTTCTCAGTATAATTTACAATAGGTACAAGTACCGCCAGGTGGCGCTATTCAAAAAATTCAGGCAGCGAATAACAAGGAAAACACAATTTCTCTCACTATAATAATCTCTTTAGAAAAAATAACTAGGTACATTTTTTGGTATTTATTTATTGTCTAATTAGCAATTTACATTTTTAAAAAGCGTTACGTATTTGATTTTCTTGTAGTTATCGAGGTATTCTGGTAATATTTACAATAAAAAAGTAACTTGCTAATTGCGCGCTCCAATCTAAAGTCACTTAAATATTTAGGGTAAACAAAAACTAAAAATTCTAATACACTACGGCGTACAGTGAGCTTAAAATTGTTCCTAGCTGCATACATCGTAAACATTACAAATAAATTGGGTAACTCATAGCTGCTACATTCGATATCTACAAGAATTAAAAAAAGAAAACATCTAGTGTATTTACAAAAAACGCTTTTAACGCGCCAAGTAAATTATTTGGCGTCACCTGGCGGTAAGGAAAAGTATTACTTCTTGCTTTCAATCAACCACAGACAAATGTTGGCAAAATGTTATTAAGACATGGTTTCCAAATACCTGGATAGGCGCATCCGCAGTAAATTGGCTCTAAAAAGCTTGTTGGCCTCATTTTATTGACTCAGAAAATGGAGACTTGAGTTCAAAACATTCATAAATTTGTTCTTCAAAAATAAAGCAAAGAAAGGTTTAACTCTGAAATAGACCAACATTTCAAGCCTTAAGAAAATCTCAGATTCAAAGCCTCGAAGCTGTTTAGCACAAATAGTATACCGACTTATGTAAAAACATTGTAAATGCAAAATGCTTTTTGACAAATTTGTAATTTTACAAGAGCCCATATGGATTTTCAATACTGCTGCTCTATCTAATAGGCAAGATGATTTTACATTGAGAAAAAAACTTTATTTAGTTTGTTAATTGCTTCGAAAACGCAAACTAACAGGGAAACATTGCGCCATAATTCACCCTTTGGTATTGTTTCAATTGAAAGCGAGAATATTCTAGATAGGACATTGCAACATTCAAATATATGACAATTTCTGTTTGTAATTACAAGGAGCAGACGAACACAGAGAGTGCATAAAATCTACTTGGGTCACAACACACGAGTGAGGGGCTGACACCTTCAACACAAGCGTTATGTCATGTCCTTAGTAAAAAAGACGTAGCTATTCGTCGACCAATGTAGCTGGACTCTCAGAGACCTAACGCGGAAAACAGAGCGGGGAAGGGTTGGGGGTATTCGATGTATTCTCGCGAGGAAGTCAAATATATTACTTCGTGTAGTTGTATTATTGTGTGAATATATGGCTTGATTTGGAGCAATTGAAGCGTTATAAATTATACATTTGTGGTATCGGATATTATGTTATCCCTTTATGTCGTTTTTTGTGTTGCTTCTCTCATAGATAGTATCATATTGGTTTTGAGAATGCTTAATTCAACTTTGTAGCTTATCTATTTCCAAAACGATAATGTCGTCATCAATTCTATAGGACTATCACTCCTCTGAATTTTGCTTGGTCTCAAAGAATCTAGTCTAGCCTCTTCTTGAATCCTTTTTTGTTTTTATTTTAAAACCACAGCTTCATCTTATTTAGTTTCAGCATTTTCAGCATCTTCAGAGAATCATGTTTAGATCAGTATTCACTTCAATTTTTTTATTCCAGGCATTAATTACTTAGCTTCAAATTTGAATTCTTCAATAAAGTCTTTTTATAACCATTAGTCTCCTTAGATATACTTAGTATTCTAGTTCCTCTATACATCTATTAATTTATTTCCATGATTACTTCACAGTTTTCAAGTCAAATAAAAAGCCAGCAGAAGGTTTATTTATAAAAAAATTTGCTACAATCACTAAACTTCTATGTTCAAAGTTAGTTGCAGTAATATAACTTTGAAGTTTGATTTTGCGAAATAGTAATTGCTTCAATATTTTTTTGGTAAACCAATTGTTAATATTCACTTATACGCTTTATTTATGATTTTCTTGGCGAAATATTAAATCAAATAATTTGTCAACACTCTTGGAACCCATTCCTAACTAGAATAATCAATGAGAGCAACTAACTGTCAAAATGTAGGCCTTCTTTTTGACTTTTTGTCAAACATTCCGATGAGGCAGCAGCTACTTTGGTCAACTCATACTACTTTTTGAAGACAAATTATACGTATTTTGTAGCGATATGTGTGGCTTAAAATGATTGCACTCATCAGATCAATACAGTCAAAACAAATTTGTTAAATAAATAGCTAAATGACAATATGACACGATTACACTTTCGGAAACAACAAATCATTAAACAAGTACTAAAACGAAAGTAAAGAATACCTTTTGGATAACAGTTTGTGTTAAAAGCTTGTCGTTTTAAAACTTTGTAATCAACTATTCATTTACACTTGGATTTAGATCTGTTTGAACAAGAATTCAGAAATCAGTCAGAATCACTGCTGTAATTTTAATATGAAAATACATTCATTGATTATCGTTTCAAAAACCTGACTGATTTCTAATTTCTGATCAAATCAAATGCAGGTTGGTATGTATAGGTTATTTGTTCTCCGTTTGTGTGTGTCTTTTTTTTTTTAAATTTCATCAAATGAACACACATTTATGATCACTCGATTGTCCTCTATCAAATCAGATTAATTCATTATTTCTATTTTCTTTATTTGATGGGCAAAATAACTCCAGTGCCATTAAATAATGCAGCCATTATCGATCGAGTTTGGGAGTTTGGATTGAATGAAGAAGCTTTATTTTTCTTGTCGTAAACACAGCACTGCTGCAACTTGATAAGTACCCAGGAAACCGGTGTCAGGAAAGGGTGTTTTCAAGGAAAAATCCCGGGCTTAGGTTTTATGCCTGATCTTTATGTTTTTAGGTGTATTGAAAGCGAAATACAAATTTTCCGAGCGCATACGTGGTCGCCTTTACCCGAAATTTGACAATTTATTTAAATTTCATGGTCTTTTTCTCGTTTGTAGTTTTTAAACTTTATTTATTATTGTTTGGGTAGTACTCTATGTTTTTAGGTGTACCAATGGCTGCAGACGACGTGTAGGGCTTTTCTGCACCAGTGTGTGAAGAAAGATGCAACAATGCAGATCGTGTTGATTTGCTAGAAGAGGCAGAGCAGGAGAGGCTAGAGACTGACAACGTTGAGATTACTCCTGAAACCGAGAGAACAATGAAGGTAAGAAAACATGGAAGTATGAAGTTAATATGATCTTATGTGATTAGATCTTCTTAGTATTTCCTTCTTTTTGTAACCATTTTAACTTTCTTTCATCTCTGTTCTAGACAATGATGAACTGCTCGCTTTCCCAATCACGAAACTCTCCGACTTTATGCCGGACTCTAATCACAAATGCTCACCAGAATCAGGACCCTTCACCCACGCCTAGCAGCTACAAGAGACACCTAGTAAAATGCAGATATTCTTCTACACAGTCTCTCAGTATGCCATTCCTTCACTATTTATCACTGGATTAATATTAGTTTTAAACAGTATTTCCCCTCTTTGGAATCATTTCACCTTAGCATCATTTCTGTTGCAGATGATGATGAATCGTTCACCATTACATCCACGAATGAATATTCACTAGAACCAGGACCCTCGACTCAGGCCTCCCACTTTTTTAATCGTAGATGTTCTGAGAAATAGTCGTACAATATGCGTTCCTACGATCATTTAGCAAATGATTCAAATACAATACAATCTGTTTTTTTATATTAAGGCCCGGTTTATCCATCTTCAGATAAACTTGCGGGTTACTATCTGCAAGATAAATATACCGTTCTCTAATTCTATTGGTCGGCGCATAACTGGTTGACAAATAGGATTACAGATTGCGTTTTTATCCGTCAGATTGCATACCTGACAGTTTATCAGAAGGTGAATTAACCGGCCTTGGTGTTATTAATTTACTCCTTCACCTACCAAAACTACCGGAGGTTGTGGCAGCATTGGTTTCTTATTTTTATTATTTATTCGGCACACCTTAAAACATGAAGTAGGTACTACCTCGAACAATATTTAATAAAATTTACTTTATATGAATTAAATAAATAAGAAAAAAACATGAAATTTCAATGAATTGTCAAATTTCGGCTACGATAGCGTGCGGCAAAGTTGAAATTCGGACTCAGCACGCTTGAAAACATATATAGTGCAGTTAATTAAGCATAAAATAGGGATCCACCTACCAATTTTGAGGTAAGAAGCTGAAAATTGGTATATTTCATTTTGACGTTCTAATAGTTGTCCCAAAAGTCATAATAAATGTAGCCAAGGTTTCTTCAGTTATTGCAGGTCACAGGTCACAGAAATTGCTCTACAATTAGCCATTCTTGAGATACAGCGTTCTTGAATCTACAGCTTGTTTACCCCCATTTCGAGAATGGCCCCTTATCTTTGTTTAAATTTTGCGCTGTATCTCAAGAAGGGCTAATTGTAGAACAATATACCTCAGACCAAGTTTGGAGCAAATTTAACGATCTATAACTTTTTTAAAAAAGTTGACCGTTTTCGAGATATTGATAAACACATTCCTGACCTTTGACCCAAATAATCACCGAATCGATCCACCAATTATTTACACCCATAATAACAACGTGTACGCAAAAATTCACGGTTAGGTGGTCCCTTTAATTTATAGGTCAAAATCTGGAGCATAAGGCTTACCACTCTTCGCGCCCTATCTCAAGAATTGTTAATTTTATAGAAAAAAGTTTGAAACAAAAGTGCTTAGAAATTTTATTATCTCTAACTCCTGTAATAAGTGTTTATATCGTTGGAGCTATAGGAACTGAGATAATCGCAATAAACCGATATCTGTGACCTTTGACCTGCAATAACTGAAGAAGCCTTGGCTACATTCATTGTAACTTTTGGGAGAACTATTAGAACGTCAAAATGAAGGTGTATACCAATTTTCAACCTCTCACCTTAAAATTGGTAAGTGAAACCACAACGCGACTGGACTAATAGATCAGACATAAAACCTATGCCCGGAATTTTTTTTCGCCTAAACTACCAATTTCCTGGACTATAGATAATGGTCTGAATTCGAAACTAGATTATTTTCTTGTCAAATGAAGCTTATGATTATGATCCTAAGAAGATATTGTCATTATCATTAGGGCATACTTACCTAATAGCTACAATATTTAATAGTACTGGATCTAGAAAAAAAAAACCTTGAGAAGAATAAGTAAGTATATAAACCTTAATTTTGTTTTGTAGACGATAATACTTTAAAAAAACAAATCATAGTGAAAGTTTCTATAGAGATGAGTGTTATTAAATTGTGTATAATATTGCTATCTTTTTGTTTGTACAAGTGATAATAATTTTCCATTCTAAACTCTATTGTAATGATATTTCAGTAATTACAGATAGAAAGAGTTCCTAAGCCATTTATTGCCAATAAAATAAGACAAATAAGTGGATTAAAAGCTCATTTTCTTATTAAATTTATTTAACATATTTATTTAACTTCTTGGAACACCACATACTTATTTTATAATTTTTAGTAGTTATTTATATTTTCAATTATTTACTAATCTAAACATTGTTTTTTTTTTTAATTATTATTACTAGATAACTCTATAATTAATTAATTTATTTGTGAAAATTTTTTTTTACTACAATAAATCTCACTTTTTGCACCTTAAAAAGATTGATGCAAGAATTTAATTTACAATTTTTTTTTTAACTTTAACCAATTGACACTCATGTTGATTATTTTTCTTTTAGTTTAAAAAAATAACTGAACACTATTTCCACTTTGCGATATCTGTTCGGGAAGTATACTAAATACCTATGTTCTTTGAAATTTTTGCGAAACAATAGAAATTTCAGCCCAATTTACAGTCAAAATTGAATATTATGTACAAAGTGTCCCAAATTAGACTTGTTTGTAACTGAGTTGTTGTTAGAACTTTTACATTTGTTTATATACTTCTTTGATTTAATTTGAAGTAACAGTATTCCATTGTCTACACAAAATATAGGTAGGTTTTACCAAAAAGTTCTTGGACACTCTGTACAATATTTTAAGCCTGTTTTATTGACATAATTGACTTTATTGTATATTTATCCGTAAATTTATTATACTAACAGTTTGTTTGTTCGTTGTGTAAACATAAATTCATTAGAAAATGAACAGATTTCAACAAACGTGGAATCATTAGAAGAGGTAAAAATCGAAACTACATAATACATAATTTTTTTGTTCACAAATCTAGGTATAGTGCAAAATTTAAAATCTAGCTACAATATTAGTTTTTTTTTCTTTTGCAGACATAATGACGAAAGACTTTGATATTTCCTAATCTTAGAGATCCTTGAAAGCCTAATTAAATTCGTCAAAATAAAATTTAATCATCAACGACAAAATAATTTTTTTTTTTTACAATATTTATTTGGACTTTTAATAATTTTTAGGAAGACGTGAACAAAACAGGGGGTTTGTTTTGCGTTTTAGGTGCTCTAAGTAATTTCATTATCCATAGTCACTTTTTTTTGCTGGTAAGTTTATTTTATTTCATGGAACCTAACCTACCTAATAGTCCAAGATAATTGTATTTTCGAAAGGTGTGAAAAAAAAAAAAAAAAATAAGGGGCAGCTGATTTTTTCAAGATTGGTCAAGGGGGGTGTCCTGAGTGTAAAAATACCGAAATCAGAATTTTTTTCTTCTGCGCCCTAAGCTATAGAGGTTTTTTCTCAACAAAATGCAGGTTCAAACCGTATAACTCTAAATGATGTCGCAACTTTACCATCCAATTTATGTAACATGTTGCCAACCATAGGAGATTTCATGTGGTTATATGACAAGTGGTCATGCACTCCTAACACATATGTTTCATGAAATAGGCTACCAGCGAACATGATTTTCAACGTACGAAAGTATTGTTTTTGCCTTTTATTCCAGACTCACCGTCAGATTATACCACAATTAATACAGCGTAGCATGTAGCAGCTGCTATTGCCAGGAAGCATAATAAAGTATAAAGTCACCTGCATAGTGACCTTTGATCAGCCGCTGTACTGGAGCGCACGCGACAATGGGTGGTATGAATAAAAACTGAGTATAAACTCGGAGTATATACTCGTGAGCATGAGTATGAAGTCTGAGCTTATACTCCATTTCGTAAGAATGAAAAAGATTTCGGTTTGATGAGTACATACTCCTAGTACATAGAGTAGATACTCAACATTTTATTTTGCTTGCCACCGCTCTTTCGCCCTATATCCTTTTCACAATCCGATGTCCACAGGTACGGGTAAATTTATCAACTTTCCCTATCAAATAGCATTGAAAGATGATAAATTTTACCTGTACCTGTGGACGAGGAAATTTGATCCACCCGTTCACTTTGCTGAATTATCTTATCAGCTACTTCCTATACAACTTTAGACACCGAAGTTTGATGAACACCAACATTCTCGCCTACTCCTGCCAGAAACCCCGGGTCACCCACGTATCTTAAAAATATTTTAAATTTGTCTTTGTTGCATAAAGCACCACCTCTTCTTTCTCCAGACTCTTCACCCAAAAATTGATTTGATAACCACTCCACATTTTCTTTACTAAACCGGTACAACGTTTTAAAGTCCCGATCACACGTATTTTTTCTAGCTTTGTAAAATTTTTCCGAACGCAGGTTAAGATTGACGAACTCTGCCATAGCTCTGCCTTCTACCGAGGGAAAATCGGCACTGAAATAACTTGAAGCAGAAAGTTGAGTCTACTGCATAGCAGACTCTAAAACTATGGAGTAGATTCTCCTGCCGAAGAGCATAAACAATTTTTTATTCATACCAAAAGTGAGAATGTACTCATACCAAATTATACATAGGAGTACCTACTCAAGCGAAATATATGCTCGTAGTTTTTATTCATACCACGTGGAGTATTTACTCCAAAATTTGGAGTAGAAACTAAATGCTCATTTTTATTCATACCACCCAGTTTCAGCTCTTGATGCGTCCCCCGCACTTGCACATGCTGTGGTCCGATTGGTTGGATTCCATCTGCTGATGTCGTTTTTGGGTGGAGTTGGTAGTATTATGTCAGGCAGTGGTTTAGACGACGTACTTTAGCTCATATGCTTCAAATTGTGTGGGCAAGATACTCTGTAGGCATTCGTATTCCCGAGCGATACGTGCTCATTGCTCTGTTCATGTTAGCCTAGCCAAACAAATTCTGGATTTAATTGACTTCACCGACAAGGACTGTAATGACATCAAATATTACTTAAGCGTTGGCGATGCCACATTAACTTTGGACGCATCAATGGATCGAACAGTGCTATACGGATTCGCGAACAATTCAAAGCGAAGCTACAGTATTTGGAAAGTACTAGCGATACAGCCAAGCTCTGGATTTAATACTTTGAGCTAGTAACGCTGATCAAACATTTTCTCGAAGCTGAACCCACCAGCACCTGGAATCTTCACCTCGACACTTTAGAACACATGCTACTCATATTTCACGCGACTGACCATCACCCAGTGTTGTCAGATGTCAAATTTAAAATTATCAGGATTTGAGAACAAAATTATCAGATTCCAAGAAAAATTATCAGAAAAAGTTTCTGTCAACTTTTTTCACTTTTTATCCCTATTTTCATTTTTCGGGTTCTAGCTGGGATTCTGACAATTGTAGCCCTCAATAAGAGCTTTAAAAAAGGTTATTCAAGACTTCGAGCCCAAGGGCTTCGTTTTCAAGATAATCGGCTTTGAAGCTTTTGCAGAATTTGAGACAAAGTTTTAATTTTGAGCCTCAATATCTTCAAAAGTATTTAAGATATAGAATTGAATCTTATTTTATCTTGAAGATTATTTAATTCTGATTCAGAATATATAATTTTACATCATATTTGTTATAATAATAACCGAGTAATCAGCAATTTTGTGAAAGAATATCAGATTATTGAAATTTTTTGAGCCCAAAAATTGCAAATATCGTTTTTATTTTTTTACAAGCCTTAAAACCCTAAAAACAAAGTTGCGTAAATGCTTTTCCACTAATTTTCACCTCCTCTTTTGATTAGTAAAGTCAACAATTGCAAAATCAAAAAATTTAAAAATTCGAACTTTTCCAAAGGGGTATGTATGCATGGAAATTGGATTTTCAAATATTTCAAATACTTGTATTTTGGAAACCAGTGAAGCTATTGACATGAATCTTTAGCCCAATTGTAGCTCTTAATAAGGGCTACAAAAAAGGTTATCTAAGACCCCAAGCCCAAGGGCTTCGTTTTCAAGATAATCCGCCTGGAAGCTTTTGCAAAATTTGAAGTAAAGTTTCAACTTTGAGCCTCAATATCTTCAGAAGTATTTGAGCTATAGAATTGAGTCTTATTTTATCTTGAAGCTAATTTAATTCTGATTCAGAATATATAATTATACATTATAATTTGTGCAGTTATAACCGAAGTCCTTATAAACTCTAGACTCTGGATAACCAAATCAAACTTCAAAATTGCTGAATTCATTTAGATCCGTCACTGCCTGGGTGGGAAGTTTTTCGTGCCCCACCCTGCATAGTATGTAGTTTAATCGGAGGTACAGTTGCGGCCATTGGAATTGGCACAAATTTTTAAACGCACCTAGTCTTGCATCAAAATAATCAACGATTTGACTTTTTTAACAAGACGTTAATGCCAAAATTGTGTCAGTTTTGGCCGAGGTTTTGGCTTTATACAAAACGCGTTAAAAAATTTTTGCCAATTCCAATGGCCGCGAGTGTACACTTGGCCAAGTGTACAAAATTGCTTACAAAATGGCCACTGTCTTAATAAATAAAAATTTAAAAAAAAAATAGTACAGGAAAAAGTTGTAGAGAATCCAATAAAAGACCAAAAATTCCATTGTAGCACAATGTTGAGAACCAACCCCTATAGCTAAGAGCGCGGAAGACGAAAGTTTCTGATTCCGGTGTTTTTACACTCGGGACACCCCCCTTGAACAATCCTAAAAAAAATCAGATTGCCTCTAATTTTTATTTTTTTTTCAAATCTTGGACTATAAATACGCTGAAAAGATTTTGTCTAGAGTTGGTTTTTTAAAAATAATTTAATTTAATTTAATTTGTTGCCAAAATCTTTGACATATTGTGTGCACAAACAAGGGACAAATTATAGTTAATTTATGGATTTTTTTAAATCAATGAAACTGAATCACTTATTTGTATCACTTCTTATTCGTTACTGTTGCTGTATAAATAAATATTAAAATGCTGATTTTGACAAAGATATTTTAAGTTTTTAAAATTTATTAAAAAAAAAAAAAATTAACCTCCCCTCAAAAACGGAAAGTATTAGGCATTAAATGCACAAAAACAATCAAGTGGGTGTAATAAAATAGTGCAACATGTTGGGCCTATAACAGTTTTGTAGCCTGGATGTATAAACGAAATTTGTGGCTCTATAATATATTTAATTCGCGGAGCAATATTCTAGATCTCTAAATTTCCACTATTTTCGCCTTCAGGTACTGTTGGAAATATTAGGCCTGTTGCGAGAAGAAATCAGAAATCATCCAGGAACCAAATCATAATTAGGAAAATGTGTTCAGATTTGAGCTGTTCAATTTCTGAGTTCTCGTTGGAACAAACGTTTTTTTTTTTAGGCCACCAAAAAGCTATTTGATTGTGCACTTTTTATGTGTTGTCTCGAAAATAATTATTTTTAACAATTTAAAAATCATTTTTTTTACATTAATAATTACAAGATTCCTATGAGGAAATATTATTTAATACAAATATCAACAGGAAAAAAATAAAAATAATCTGTTTTACAAAAAGACTATGTAGAAATCTGTACACTAGTACATTAAATATTAGTGACTTGAGGAGAGCAAGGATTTATTTTGTTCAATTTCTGAGCTGTCGTAGATTATTATAAGCTTTTATCCTTGATTTAAATTTTTTGGTCGATTCGTTAAAAAAATAAATTCCTTATTCTCTCCAATTATCTAAAAAATTGAACATAACATTTAAATATCACACCATTGTTTGAAAAACGAAAAGTCAATATTTTATTTATTATTAACAATTATTATTGCTAGAGCAGTTTTTTTTTACTAAAATTATCCGCTACTTTCCCAATTACTATATCTCTGCATTATTTTTTTTTGAAGCTAGATCTACGAATTCAATAAAAACAAAACTTGATGAAAGCCATTGCAAATGATTTTTTCTTCTCGTACCACCTTGACGAATATGTTCTGGAACATAAAAATGTGTTAGTGGAATAATATTTGAGATATCAGTAAGTTTTATAAAGTCTTTTCAACTTCAATCAAAAGTTGCAGCGTTAAATAAGACCTAAAAGGCAACGCAAACATGCGATTTTTCAAATTGAATAATTAAGAAAAGTTAAAAGTTGCACAAATTCGACTTTTTTTTTTTTTTTGGTGAGCACAGGGGATGTTTGAGTTTCTCATAGTTGTCATAAATTTGCATGAGTGCTGGTAGGTAGAACTATCAGAAGTGAATAAAAACAAAAGTAGACTTTTTGCCAAGAAGCATTTTACAGCAGACATTAAAAAAATATTAAATATCCCTTGGAAGAATGGGTACAAGCATCGGCTTCAAATTCAAAATAGAGGTGGAGTTCAATAAGTCGAAAGGTGGAGGAGTAACTTCAGGGCTTTCAGCAAAATCCCCGGAATAATTCAATTCTGACAAATTGGAGAATCTTTACTTTTATTTTCACATGAACAATAATCCAGGAAATCGGTGTCAGGAAAGGGCGTTTTGAAAAAAAAATCTTGGGCTTAGGTTTTATGACTGATCTTTATGTTTTCAGATGTGCTGAATCCGAATTTCAAATTTGCGGCGTGCTATCGTGGTCGCCCTATCCGAAATTCGACAATTTATTTAAATTCTATGGTCTTTTTCTGGTTAATCGTTTTTAAACTTTATTTATTATTTTTTCGGTAGTTCTTTTTGTTTTTAGGTGTATCCCACACATTTAAATGTGCGTATATTAAGAGCCCCACACACTACGATGAAACACGACGGTATTCATCGCTGCGATGAAACACGTCGTTCCAAAACCGAAGTGTGTGGTAGAAAAACACAACGATGATGAAAACCGTTGTGTTTCATCGTAGTGTGTGGAGCCCTTTACACCTCTGAATATCTATGGTGATGATCTGATGCGCCCCACCCCACACTTCTTCAAACTGCCCGTCGTAGCACATAGTCAAAATTGTTTGAGAGAGGGTGCCTCAACATAATGCAAATTTCCATAAGGCACCCCAGATGACGTCATCAATTCACCCATTACCAGACATCCAGACAACCTTTTAGCTTTAGGAACCTTGGCGCATAGCGGGGTTATTTAACATGACCATACTTATGACAAGAGTCTGGGGAACAGATAGGCGGAGCTCCAAACTCTTCCGAACGTCGAACGTCAGCATATCGCGAAGCGGTCGAAGAGGAAGGCGTCGAAGTTCCATCCGCCGAACGTATTTTATCCACATTTTATTATTATTTAGTCAGGTACGAGAGACGAGAAGTTTTTTTCTAAATTCAGATCAATCATGTGATTATGGGTTTATAAATAAAAAACGGTATCATTCAGATAAGTTATTAAATTAATTTTTTTTCTACGAACGTACCATCAAACTTTGGTACCATGTAGGATATTTTCTACACAGGTAGGTATAATTTTCGCAAAATCTCGTACGTATACACCATTTTCCTATAAGTAAGGTGGTAAGGTATATATTTCACTCACTTTTGGACAAAATAAATATTCCCAATTTAATTTTGGTATTTGTTTTCAATTTTTAACCATTGAACCCTTTCTATAAAATATACCGTTACCTACTGCTCCTAATATTTTGTATTTGTATTCAGCAATTTTTTTAAAAAGACGTAATATTGAAGTATAGAAACTAGAAAGTACGAAAGCTTTGAAGGCTTAAAATTTAGATATACAAGTTTTTTTTTTCATGACTGAGGATTATTCCTGTGATGATCTTGGAAATAATCCCGACTCACAGAATTATCTCAGGAATAATCCTGTATCATAGGCAGGCGATAATAAACAACATTAATAATAACTTGCACATATTTTAACAATGATCGTTTTATCCGAGCTTGGTTTTCTGCACTGAATATAATTATTTTTATTTAAATTATCGAATATTTACACGCAATCTTGGTCGCCGTAGTCTATTCGGCGTCGGCGGCGCGCGGAGCGATGGCAATAATATCGTTAGGCATTTGTTGGAGCTCCGCCTGTCTGCTCCCCAGACACTTGTATACTTATGCTGCGTTAGATGGACGAAACACGGTTCATTCAATGGGATGGATCGTGTGTGTGACGCCTAAATCAGCAGTGGCTCGTAATCAGGAGATAGATCGCATTACACGAATTCCTGAAGTAGAAGAGGTTGCTAGGGTAGGCCCAGTCAGCTTACAGCATTTTGAACGTTTAAACGATATAGAATTAATAGCAGTCACTATTAAAAAACTCACTGAAATGTATCTCCATGTCACATACTCCAAGTCAATTATCCCTACAACGCCTCATTTGTTTTGGCTGTTCTGTAAATGTAAGGAGCTCCTTGGGGTTCGAGGATGGAATGGATTTATGCAAGAGGTTACAAAATCTCTCCCATATAAAACAACACGCGTTTCCTGTCTACCATTTATGAATGCCGCTCGCAACGATTATGACACATGCATTGCTGAATGCTGTTGAGAACACCAGGGTATTTGAGCAGCAAATCGTGTTCATTACATTGGATCAGCCACTGTATTTAAAAGCCAGAGAGATTATGGCAAGTCGAGCTGGTGATCTTGAACTGGCAGGCGTTGTGGTTCATCTTGGAGGATTTCACCTATTGATGTCTTTACTAGGGGCAGCGTTGCCACCTCACGAAAATTAAATGTAATAGATTGAAGCCAAAATTGTAATAGATTTGACTTTTTGGTAATAGATTTTTTCATCTGTCACTTCTGTCAGTTATGCATGACAGATGACCAAAATATTAGGCAGTTTTTGCGCGGAATGCGAGGCTAATCAAGCATAATCTGATTATGCTGGGATATGTGATGTGTCAATGGCATGTAATATTGACAGTTGAGTTGAAGAGGGCGCTTCTGTACTTGGATCTCTTTAAATTTTGGCGCGTAAAAATTCGATTGTAATTCTAACCTCAAAACTGAAGTTTGATATGTGGTTTCAAGACAAGCTGACGCTCACTTTTAAAAATATTCTCTAAGGGCCACTGAACGCTTTAGAAGATATTTTAACTTATTCATTGTCCATAGTTCATATGTAGTCATCTTTCTTTCTACTTAGTTTGATCAGTTTTAAACTATTGACATTTACCGCCAAAATTTAAAACACTCCAAGTTCACTCGTGCCCTCTACAAAATTTTGAGGAACTTAACTGGATATTTGCTGTCATTGTGTCATAGTCCCCTTAACTTCGTCACCATCAAATTTGTATAGTGATGACGTCACTCGCAGACCTCGATGGAATGCTTGCGATTCCGGCTGTGCTAGTGTTTCGTGGATTTTAAATGCTGAAAAGGCAAATTTGGGTCTGTCCTCACAGAAGAAATTAAGTGTTTCTGATCCTCGAGTATCCCAAAATTTCATGGTAGGGGTGTTAGGGCCGTTTCCACCAACCATTTTAGGGGAGCCCTAAAGATAAGTATTCCCTAAAATGACATTTTTACATGGAGAAATGTCAGTTTAAGGCATACCTATCGTTAGGGCCCCCTAAAATAGTTGGTGGAAATGGCCATTAGAGGAGTATGACAGAATGGACACATCACATAATCCAGCAAAAGATTATGCTTGATTATCCTCGCGAAAAATTGCCTATTGAATAGGCGCTTTTTTTTTCATCAATCTCTCCACCATTATACGCCGTATTTATTTTTATGCTGTGTTTTTATGCTCAATTTACTCGCCTGTAGCATTTTTCAATTGCTTATTCACCAAAACATAATTTTCCCGAAAAAGGAATAGATTTTTTTCTTTGGTAATAGCCTAATAGAAATTACTTGATTGTAATAGATCTATTACGATTGTAATAGGGGTGGCAACACTGACTAGGGGCAATCGGGTACATCATGGATGACAGTGGCCTCGCAGAGCTTTTTAATGTGGTCTTTGCTGTTAACAGCACCATTAAAATAATGACTGGTCATCCCTACGCTAGAGCAGTTCGTGCTCATATTATGGCACACACTATCCTGTCCAAGCTCATAATGGAGGATATATCACATTTTCGTTCGAAACTAGAGAAGAATTAGAGCAGCTACTGTATGAAATCAACCTTACGCAGCTCCTGAACACCAATCTGGAGTGTAAAACAGAAGTAACACAAAAATTCGAGGATGAGATAAACCGTTTGGGTAGTCTTGAGCCAACGGCTAAATTGTGAACTCAGTACCTGGAAATGGTGAAACTTATAAGGTTCATTTAGTCAAAAAGATCGGAAGACTGGCATTCACACCTAGAAACAGTCTGCAACATGACCCCGTATTTCCACGCGAGTGGCCCTTTCTTGTATGCCAAATGTGATCAATTATGCATGCAAAACATGCAAGGGCTGCAAAAAATGATACTACCAGATGAATTTGCATCTTTCACGTCGAAAGGTGGCTTCACCATCAGACAAGGAGACCATTTGTCGTGCGGCACGTGCAGTGATACGACAATCGAACAGTTTCTGATGAAGCAGATGAAGATAGACGGAGGACTGACTCGAGGCCGAGGAGTCAGCGATGCCATATTATCTAGGCAGACACAAGGTATGGCTGCTTGCCAAGAATTGTGCGATGTGATCGAAACGTTCTACGGCATAAACTTTGGTAGGACGAAGCAACATGTTTACAGCAGGGACAGCAGATTCAGACGAGACGATGAGGACATGGATAAGATGTTAGAATGGTTTCGCAACCATCCACCTTTCCTGCTCTCTAAAGACATAATATTCATCGGTACAGGGGTCATCGGAGATCCCAAAACAATTACTTGCTACATGGCTAAAGAACATGGTGTCAAAAGAATGGAGAACGTTAAGACAGAGGATGGACAAAACAAAAAATTTGGTACTGTCAAGTACAAGAGAAGTGATCGAGTATTACCTCTAGCAGTTGTCAGCGCTGCACTTGTAATTGATGACCGGCATATTCCCATAAAACCTTTGATTCTCTTCCAAAGAATCAGCGTTGTCAAGCAGTCTGAGGAGGAGTTGCATAAGTTTTTAACATACGAACTCTGTCCATACCCTTTGGCTCTATTTGATGATATGGGCATGAGAAAGGGAACCAAATCAGCCTTCTACAAGGCTTTCCGACCGATGTTGGATTCCTGTTACATCAAGTTGTATGGCCATCAAACTCAAGTTCCTTCTGTGATATCAGTCGCAGCTACATTCATTACGTTAAGTGCAAGTACAAGTCTAATGCCGTAATGGTATTCAATTGTTACCTAGATGATGATCATATTAGTACGAAGAACATGGAGCGGATGCGAAGATCTGAAGCATTCATTCGAAGCATTATCCATGACGACAACTCTCCGAAGAGAGTTTTCTCAGCAACTCCAAAAATAAAGAAAAATTTATATCCTACCTCAGGAATAAAGTTTGCCCAAGCCAACATTACAAACTACCAGGCAGTGGAAGATGCTGACATTCTGATTGTAGACACTGCTCAGTCCTTGGTTTCGCAAAACAAAAGTGTGACAGTCAGTGGTTGGCGAAGATGTTGATCTTCTTGTGATCATGATCAGAAAGAAAACATCTGAAAACGTATACTTTATTAAACCTGGAAGAGGAGCGAGCCCATCTACCTTGTACCATCCATTCACTGCCGCGGATGAAGAATTTGCAGGTTTTATAGTCCTTCTTCACGCTATCAGTGTGATTCCACCTCTTCGTTTTATAATCAGGGGAAAATTAAATGTTTGAAAACCTTACGAAAGGATCCTAAGCTCCTAAAAAAGATGGAGGTTTTCTATGATCCCGATGCCGACAAGAATGCACTGATTGATGCGGGTGAAAACTTTATCATATCTTTATATGGATTCTGCTCTTACAGCACCACATTGGATAGATTGAGATACAAATAGTATGTTATAGCAGCGTACAAAAGTAACTGTAACATGGCAATGCTCCCTCCAACGAGTGCTGCAGCACAGCACCATATATTTCGTACGTATCATCAAGTGCAAGTATGGCTGGGAAATCCATGTGAACCCACCCACTCAATGGGGAGGGAAGAAAACAGAGAATGGACTACTCCCAATGTTGACGAATGTCCCACCAGCACCGCCAGAGCTACTGGCTAAAATATCATGTGGGTGTGGAAAAAAATTGTACACGGAATTGTGGCTGCAGACGTGTAGGGCTTTTCTGCACAAGCATCTGCAGATTCTGTGAAGGAAGATGCAACAATGCAGATCGTGTTGATTTGCTAGAAGAGGCATAGCAGGAGGGGCTAGAGACCGACGACGTTGAGCTCACTCTTGAAATCAAAAACAATGAAGGTAAGAAAACATAGAAGTATGAAGTTAATATGATTTTATGTGATTAGTTCTTCTTAGTGTTCCTTCTTTTTGTAACCATTTCAACTTTCTATCATCTCTGTTCTAGACAATGATAAACTGCTCGCTCTCCCAACCACGAAACTTTTCGACTTTATGCGGGACTCCAATCACAAATGCTCAACAGAACCAGGACCCTCCACCCAGGCCCAGCAGCTTCAAAAGAGGCCTAGTAAACGAAGATATTCTTCTACACAGTCTCTCAGTATGCATTCCTTCACTATTTATCACTGGATTAATATTAGTTTTAAACAGTATTTCCCCTCTTTGGAATCATTTCTGTTGCAGATGATGATGAATCGCTCACCATTATATCCACGAATGAATATTCACTAGAACCAGGACCCTCGACTCAGGCCTCCCACTTTTTTAATCGTAGATGTTCTGAGAAATAGTCGTACGGTATATGCATTCCTACGATCATCTAGCAAATTATTCAAATACAATACATTCTGTTTTTTTAAGTATTAACTGTTGTTAACTTTCACAATAATTTCCTCCTTCACCTACCGAAACTACTGGCGGTTGTGGCAACATTAGTTTCTTATTTTTAACTTTTATTCAGCACACCTAAAAACATGAAGTAGGTACTGCCCCGAACAATATTCAATATAAGTTATAGTTTATATTAAATAAATAAGAAAAAAAAACATGAAATTTTAATAAATTGTCAAATTTCGGCTAGAGGCGACAACGAAAGCGCGCGGCAAAGTTGAAATTCGGATTCAGCATGCCTGAAAACATAGAGATCAGTTATAAAACCTAAACCCGGGATTTTTTCTCGGCTACCAATTTTCTGAACTATGAGCGCTTTTTGCCTTCTCGTCAGTAGTGGAATTTGCCGGAGATTGATTGAAAAAGATAATGGATCACTAGATATGGAAACCAGCATGTTAGAGAATTCACTTCAGACACCACTGACAAAACTACAAATAAGTATGCAACTTTTAGAATATGGCCTCAGTGCTAAGGAGAATGTTTTGAAAGAGCTTGAAAAATGATAAAAAAATTATTGGACAACGCTGATGTCGAGTACCTACCTATACCAATAGTGAAAGTATTTAAGTTGTTTCGTTAGTGATGTGTTTGTGTTTTCTACACTATAGCACTACACTAGAGTAAATTTGTTTGGTTTTTGTGAAATTTGCATTTTTGTTAAAATCGCTAGTAAAGTAGATATAGCTAAGGCAATTTTTTTGTCGCTATTCTAGTTTTTACCAACTGTCAAAAATATCATATTTTTAATTTAATTACTAAATAAAAAAAATGTTTTACTTTATTCAATTATCTAATAAAAATATAGCTTTAATAATAAAATATTTTTGGAGTCAATATCTGAAAAACAAAGCTCCATATAGTTATATCTCTTCGAGAAGAAATAGAAAACAATCTACTTCTACAAAAATCTAACACTGGAAGTATCAAATTACTACTCAAGATGCATAAAAAAGTGGTGCATTCAATTTCAATGCTCTACTAGCAGTGTATATGATCTCTGAAAAGTAATGTTCAATAAAATATCATAATGGAAATGTCTTACTGATAGAGGTATTCCCAGTCCACTGTATACATATTTAAGATAGTGTCAGTATTTAAATAAGTAGTGTGAATCCAGAAAGAGAGTAGTAGTAGATAGGATAGTGTAAAATACACACAACGTTTACAATACACTTTTTTCTATTTCCTTTTTGTTACTTACCACATTGAGTCTTAGACTAGTCCCATATAGCCTCCAATGGTACACGTTATTATAATGGCCAAAATGGCCAGACATATCATGATCATTATTTTCTTCTGCAATGTTTAAATATTGGATTAATAAAATTCAGTAATTTTGGGGGGGTTTTCGTTTTTTTCTGGGAGTTTTTTTTTATTTAGATAGTAATTAAACTACACCATGTGCCAATTGTCACTCGTAATTGTTTTTTTTTTTTTGACCGAAAAATATGATCTTGGGATTATTTTCTGTGTTTTAGAATTGTTTTGATTATCAGTTTTATTGTCTGTATTATTGAAAATTCACAAAGACTTTAGTAATCGATACAATTCTTATATGATAGTAAGATAGTAAAGATTATTTATATATTTTATAATAACAAATAAAAGTGTTTCAACTAGTGAGTTCTGCCTTTTATTTGGAATTCTTTTGGTTGTGAAAATTCACATAAGTACATAACTTATTGCCTAGGGCACTAGAAATATAATAGGGACAACTTAGGGTGGGTATTATAAACCTATTTTGACAGAAAACTAGAAGTTGACTTTTGGAATTACTATGAAATTCCAGAAGTTAACTTTCAGTATTCTGTCGAAATAGTTTTATAATACCCGCCCTCAATGTCCTTTTTTGACTTAAGGAAAAGTTATATTGTGGAATAAGTAGGCCACACTTCCTATGTCTAGAATATTGTAGGCAGATTAACAATAGAGTCTAATCCTGCAGACAAGTTTTTCATTTTCAAAGTACAGACTTAAGAAACACGAAGTTTCTGAGCGCTGTATTTTTCAAATTATTTGGTCCTTGATTTGCACCAGGGTGCTATATATTTCAAACTTGATAGATTTTGTTCGAATTGAAATTTTGAAATAAGTACCTATTTTTTTTTCTCGTGCTGTTCAAGTATTTTATAGTTTTTACTTAACCCTTTCTTTGAAATTTTTTGGAAGATTATATAGTATATTTTGCATCACTTATTATGAGAAATAACCTTTTTAATAATACCATTTGCTCCAACAGCAAAAAATTGAACCGTGAACTGGAACTACTGCAAATTGATAAGAACAATACAAGTTCTGTAAAAACGGCAACTATGAAGCTGTCTAATAATAATTCAACATCAGAACTGATTTTTCAACTACAATATAACTCTGAAGGTTTCAATAAAACATTTTTAATTCAAATAATTATATGAAAATGCCTTAAATTAAATGAATGCAAAACATCTAAAACTAGAAAGCGAGAGCCAGAAAAAATCTACTGAAATGATAGTAACGTTCCATTGCATATGTAAGTGAAATTATTTAAATGTTTCAAATAATGAACGATTTCTACTTGGAACATTATTAAAACGCTTGTTTTTTATACTCACTATCCAAAAAATTTTGCATAAATACTGGCCGAGGCGATCACAATGAGTACCGATACGCACACCAAGATCATGATTTTCTTCTATAAATTAATAAAATAGCGAAATCGCGTTTTAGTTTATTTCTCTTCAAATACTATCAACACTAATAAATTGAAAAATTAGGAAAATATTAAGGTGCGTTGCTCTGGGGCACCTATTGCTAGTTTTTGTTCAAAAAGAGAACTAGTAATTTCCTTGGGTCAAAATGTCAATTAAACTTATCTGTTTGATGATTGAGATGATTTCAGCTACAAAACTGGGATCACGAATTTTTATTTTAAAGATTTTGGCAATCCCAGTTCAAAAATTAATTGATGGCTTTTAGAAACTGTTAAATTCTTATAAGGGATTGAAAGCAAGAAGTCAAAATGTCTTAGGGCCGGTATTATAAAACACTGAACCAATGATTGAGTTTCAACCTTCGGTTGAAACCTATCAATTTACATGGAGTCATCGGTTCAGTGTTTTATAATACCGGCCATTAGACTTTTCAAATGTCAAGTTCACTTGCTTGTGTAATAGCTTCACAGCTATTTCAGTGCACCCTGCTAGAAAAATAACGCAGCTCCTACAAGCAAGAAAAATACTGCGATTCTCTGTTTACCCAACTTGCCAATGCCAAGTGAACTGTTATCAACTGCCAATACATTGTGGAAATGTCGATATCCCATTCAAAAAAATAGTTACTACCCCTGACGTGAGTTATACAGATTAGAGCTCGAATCCAAATATCTGAATATTCGAAAATTCAATTTTTTGAGACTTTAGTTTAATTCAGAGCTCTACAATCCAACAGTTTTTCAAGTTTTCCAGGTCTTTGAAATATTCAGAGGCTCCAGCTTTGGTCCGGAATCGGCAGAATTTTTGAAGTCCATATTCCAAATTCTTGAAAAATTAAACTTCAAAGCTTTAAGCATCTTCAAATTCTTTACTATTTGGTGTTTTGTCTCAAAAATCTTCATCAGTGAGCCACGACACATTTTGGAGTTTTTTAATTCTTTGGAAACTTCTCTGCACCGGCCTCAAGAGACTTCAACCTCAAGCCTTCAGAGACCTCAGAATCCTGAGACACTTTTAAATTCAAGAGCTTTGACTCCTTTCAGAGAAATTATTTGGCGCCTTGATATAATATTTAGAGGCAGAATTCTTAAAGTTTTCGGCCTCAATAAATCATGTGCTTTGATGTCTCAAGATCCTTGGAGGCTTTAAAGCTTGCAAAAAGCCTTATAATTCTTAAACTCTTTGGTTTTTTGGGCGGCTTGAAAATCTTCAAACACTTGGAACTTAACTTTAGAACCATCAACGCAATTTTTCTTTATATTCTTCATTCTAAAATTCCGCATAATAGGACTTCGCAGCCCTCAAATATTTTAATTTTAGGTGTCTTTCTACTTTCTTAAAATTTTCAGCGTCTTCAATTTTATTAAGACTTGCAAAGTTTGAAATCATGAAAAAATTAGTCCTCAGATTGTTTTAATTGCTTAGTGGGCCAGGAAAAAGAGGTTAAACCTCGCAAACTCGACACAAGTTCTGTTTTATGTTTTTTTCTAGTAGGACAAGGGCTGCTTATTACGGGTCTAACTTTTTCCAACAAAATTTCTCCCTGGAACGTCCCCTTTCATCCCCTTAAGGGTAGTTTTTTTTTTGGTTTTTCTGAAACTTACCGCGTCCGCTACGCATGTTACAACAAAATACCTTCATAGTAAATTGATGAGGACTACATGCTCTACAATTTATCCAGCGACAGCATTTGTCTGTCACCTACCCTTCAGCCAGGGTGCGGGGCTCTAAAGTTAAATGACCTTGAGAAAAAATGTTTTGGGAATTATTTGTTTTTTACTGAACAGTGAAACGAATTTACCGCAAACTATGAAGCAACTACTCATAAATAATTGGCCGATTTTTTGGTACATGTTTTATTCAAAAACATTCACTCCTTTTAGATATACAGGGTGTTGAAATTTAAACAACCCCCTTTCATATTATCTGAAGGGCTAATGCTAGACTGTTCAAAGTTTCAGGGATTAGTGATGTAGGAATGATGTTCGAAAATTCATATAATGCACCCTCATTTTCTACCTCGAACCACTCAAAAAAAAAAAAAATTAAAAAAAAAATGCCTTTTGGTTCAAATATTATTTTGTGCACACCTTTACATGCATAGACACCATAAGCATTTGTCTAGTACAACCCCACTGGACGAAAAAAAAATATTGAGAAAGTGAGATTTTTTTTAATTTCACTTAGCTCAGTAGCGTACTAAATTAAGCTTTCCAAAAATATAATCTACTTACTGCAACAGCCCCCCGGGAACTACCCCTGCCCCTTATGGAAGTTGTCGCAACCACTCTTTTGCGATTATTACTTATGCATTGTATGTATTTATATGAAATTGAAGACCACCATATGCTCTACTAAGGCAGGCACACTTGAAGCACAAAAGTTAAATTTTACGCAATCGTTTGGCGCTTCGTTAGTGTTTCAATTCCCAAACTAGCAACCTTTGTATTCGGATATATTTCGGTTTTTTGAAATCGCCTGCTTAATTCACACCCAGCAGGAACAAGGGAAGCACCAATGTTCAGTCACAGATAAATGGCTAGTGCTTCAATTTGCTTCAATCTTTAAATTAGCAATCATTAAATTTTCAGAGATATTTCATATTTCAGATTTTTGAAATCGCCTGCTTACTTCACACCCTGCAGGAATAAGGGAATCACCAAAGTTTATGTAGTGTTTTCATTTTATTTATATATTATAATAGTACCTACACTCCAGCGGCTATTCATATCCTAAGGTAAATATGTAGGTACCATGTAGGTATACCTATATACAATTAATATTAGTGTATCAATAGATCGGTACCGGTATGTCACGGGTTTTCTAATAAACGGAATTGTCGTAAAATCGTATTTTATTTACACCTAAATATTACAGTTTAGTTACAAATAAATGGTTAGTGCTTCGTTAGTGCTTCAATGTGATTCAATTCCCAATTTAGCAACCCTTGAATTTTCAGACATATTCTGGTTTTCAGAAACCGCCTGCTTAATTCATACATAGCAGGAACATTGAAGGCACCAACGTTTAGTTGTAGATAGATGATTAGTGCTTCGTTAGTGCTTCAATGTACTTCGATCCGCAAATTTAGCAACCCTTATATTTTCAGAGATATTTCACTTTTTAGAAATCGCCTGCTCCCTTAACACACAGCAGGAACAAGGGAAGCACCAACGTTCAGTTACAGATAAATGGTTATTGCTTCAATGTGCTCCAATCACTTCACACCCAACAGAAACATGGAAAACACCAACGTTCAGTTGCAGATGAACGGTTAATGCTTCGTTAGTGCAACAACTCTTATACTTCCAGAGATATTTCGACTTTTTGCAATCGCCTGTGGATTTCACCCTACCAGCAATGCCGAGAATCTGCGAATAGGTAACGAGATAATGGAACATGACTCTGGAATAAAATTTCTGAGCTTTGGGACCCCCTTAATATTTTTTTTTCCGACTAGAGGGGTTGTACTAGAAAAATGTATTTGGTATCTATGCATGTGTGTCGGAGGTGTACACAAAATAATATTTGAACAAGATTTGAACCATTCACATAAAGGGCATTGTGTGCGAGAAAATGAAAAAAAATGCAAGTTTTTTTCATTTTTTTTTGGGGTGGTTCCAGGTAAAAAATGGGGGTGTATTAATTATATGAATTTTCAAATATCATTCCTACATCACTAATCCCTGAAATTTTGAACAGCCTAGCATTAACCCTCCAGATGATATGAAAGGGGGTTGTTTAAATTTCAACACCCTGTATATCCAAAAGGGGTGAATGTTTTTAAATAAAACTTATACGAAAAAATGGGCTAATTATTTATGAGTAGTTGCTGCATACATAGTTTCTGGTAAATTCGCTTTACTATACGGTCAAAAAAAAATAGTTCTCAAAACATCTTTTCTCAAGGTCATTCAACTTTACAGCCCCACCCTGGCTGAAGGGTAGGTGATAGACAAATGCTGTCGCCGGGTAAATTGTAGAGCATTTAATCCTCTTCAATTTACTATGAAGTTATTTTGTTGTAACACGTAGCGGAAGCGCTAAGTTTCAGAAAAACCAAAAAAAAAAAAAAAACGACTTTCAAGGGGATGTTCCAGGGAGAAATTTTGTTGGAAAAAGTTAGACCCATAATAAGCAGCCCTTGTCCTACCAGAACAAAAAATAAAAAACAGAATTTGTGTCGAGTTTGCGAAGTTCAGCCTCTCTTTCCTGGCCTATAGTGTTGCACTTGTAAAATTCTTAAAGTCTTGAATTATGAGCTCTGAGACTTTTGTTTTGAAGTCTTTGGAAACTTAAGATCAGCAGAGTCTTCAAATTCAAAGAAACCTTGATCAAAGTAGACAGAGAAAATGGAGACCTACTTTTAGTGGTTGATGTTACTGCGCTTGACCCAAAAAAACTACAGGATAGGTAAATTATGTGAAATCCAAAACTAATATTTATGGTACAGTTGAAGCAGTTCATTATGATTTCATAAGATAAGTGACTCAACAGGGCGTCCAAAAGCAATAAATGAAATGTGACACCCTGTAATATTTTTTACTATACCAACGTTGTGTGTAAGTAGATGCAACCTCTATAACCGATTGGTGCTAGTCTATAGGTATGCAGGATCATCTAGAGAACTAAGAAAAAAAATATAAAAAAAAACTAAACAAAATTGCAAAAGAAAAATTTAATAACAATAATTAATAAATAGTATATCTTTAAAAATATGTGCAAACAATACAATAGGAGTAACAAAAAAAATTGTAACATGTTAAATAAAAATTGATTGATCAGGCTATTATAACACATAAGTAATAATAATAATATGTATTTTAGACGAAACAAAAAACACTTTGGCATTTGAAACTTTTAAAAGTAAATGCACCTTTTAGGTCTGCCCCAATAAGAATCAGAATTTTCAAAGGATTGCAAAAACAAAATATTCTGTTTTCTTGCTGAAACAAACATAATACAAACTATGACATATATTATCTAAAATTAGAGGTATTTGTATATATATATATATTTATTTTTTTTCGAGGCAGTAGGTATTTTGCTAAATTCCTAAAACCTGGATAATTATGTTTAAACTACAATATATTTGAATTGACTGTACGAAAATCACATCCAAAAAAAGGCAAAGACAGGTTTGTTTTAAAGCCAATTTCATCTGACCAGTGTTCCTTACAATAATTTACTACTGACTCGAAAAAAACACATTTAATTCTTATGTTAATACTACATACCATGAACAACTCTTTTATAAACGTTAATTAGGTCTGTTTAGTCTCAGACAGACACAGACCTCATGAGTATTGCAAATTAACTGCAACCAAATAAATACGCAAAATGAACTTATCACACATTTGTTCACTTCGTCCTTAAAATCTTAAATAAATCACAGTACCAATAAAATACAGGGGGTGTTAGGTTAACAAAAGAGTTTAGAGTTGTATATCACTTATTTTTGTAATGAACTATTCTGCTATTATAAGCTAGTGTTCTTCTAGAATGTAGTGTGGTTTTGTTTGTCAATTGGGTTTTAGAAAAACTAAAAAAAAAAAGAGGATTTTATAGAATACAAGATGCAGAAAAAAAAAATTGTCCCAGACCACATGGAGATGATAGAACTCTTAATATTTGTGAATTTGTTTCGGAAAATGTATGCTTTGCTTCCTTGTCGAACCACTTTTTGTAAGTAGGGGTTCGAGGAAAGTACCTTAGCTGCTGTTTTTGAAAACTTTCCACAAAGTTTACTACTGGTCAGAATTTTCTCGGAGTGCACGTCTAATTTTAAGGAATTTTGGAAAACATTTTTTTCAACAAGTCCATACATTAAGAGTTCAATAAGAAATTGATGCTGCCATTAAAAACAACATAAATCTTAGGGGAAAAAAGAACTAAGAGTAAGCCAGTTCTGCAGGTTCTTTTCGTTAGAGAATTCTATCATTTCCTTAATATGATTCAATAATAAGAAATTAGTCAGATATCTCAAGAATTTACAATTAGTAATAATCTTATAGGGACCTGTTTCTCATTATATTTGAAACAAACATTTCCAATTTATTTTTAGAATCACTTATTGAACAAAGCTTTCTTACGTTTCCGATATTTTATAGTAAATTATGTAAAATTTAGTTTGTTCTAAATCACTAGAAGATCTAGTCAGAATGATCCAATTCTGGTAGCTCAAATTCTTTCATTTCAGATAGAGAGTCTATAATAAATACATCTTGGGAACCAGCCTAAAAGATTCAAAATGAACTTATTATTCATTGAAATTGAAAAAGTAAAAAAGCATTGTCAATACATAGAATTGCAAAAACAATAATGTACATAAATTTATTGCAAGCACCAGGTGGAGGAGTTGGGGTAGAAAAGACAATATCCAAGGATTAAAATTAGCAATACGGAAAAATTATGTGCATAAGTTAACACATCCAATGAGTTGACAATGATGGAAAAGGATGAGGAGAACTAAAATAATTATATATTTAGTAAATTGATATGTTTTGTTATATTTTATATACTGAGGTATGACATGAATACGTATTTTTTGGAAATAGATATGTGAAAATTGATATACAAACCCTTCAAACAACAAACATTGGCAAAATCCTTAAAAATAAATACATAATGTTATTTTCGGTTGCATTTTCCTATTTCAACCTACATTGGTCAGATTTTCAATGTCATCAAAGCAAGATACATTATTGAAATACTAGCGTATTCTATAAAAACAAAATGTCTATAAAAGGATCACGCAGTGTTTAAACGGAAATTGGTTACCCGTGATATTTGGATGAATTTTAAATATGTTATTGGGGATGCCGTAAGCAACATTTTTTACCATAATATATTATGACAGGTGAGGCGGTATTAGCTGTCAAATATTGGAATCTAATATTCAAAAGCAAGGTAACTATGGCAGATTTTGACGAATTAAATATCGATTTCTACTAAGTCGACTGTTATTTATAAATTTGGTTTCTTCTCATTCTTGTTAAAAAATTACTTATTAAATGTCAATTACGCGTAAAACACACAGGAGTGTATTTTCTACGACCCTGCGCCGACCGAGACAGCCGTTGAAGATTTGGATTTACACACTAGATAAATGGTGCTTCATATGCACGTTGCAATTTTTTCCGTATGCGTGTTTTAAGCTCGAAAAGTCTATGTCTTGTGCCGTTAAAAAGGAACCTTGAGTGCCTTAAGTTGATGCTGATACGTTGGTGGTTGTGGAAAACCGTTTTCCAGGGGATCCCCGTATATACACACAGTTTATAAGAAAACCCAGGTGAGTGAAAATATCTTTTTTCTATTGACATTTCATAATACGCCTAAAATCTGTTTCATAATGAACTTCATTATGATACAGATTTTTCAGGCACTGGAATCGAGTTATTTTGAACATGAACAATGTTTATATAAAAATAACAGACTTGTTTTGGATTATTTCTATTGGCATTTACCAGAAGAAACAACAAAAAATTAATAAATCGGGTGCGGAATTTATGCCCAAATGACGTCTAGATCATTTTTGAAATTGTCAAGTTGTCAACAATTGTCACCAGTTGAGAAGTCTACTATTTTTATAAAATAAATATGTTTTTCGTTTATTAATGCAAGTAGAAAAAATAGTGTAATGGCCATTAATACACTCGCATGTTATATACGAAACTCGCCTGCGGCTCGTTCCATATCCTACAACATGCTCGTGTATTAATGGCTATCATTACATGATCATGATCATTGCATAATATACTATTGTGTGTTTCGACAACCCTATGGTATCATTTTCATTTCTATTCCTATTTGTTTGCGCGATTTTCCAGTCGCAGTCCAGTTTACTAAATTTCAAATACTACTGCGTAAACATCGACCAAGGTAAATCGAAAAATATCAATCATTTTGATATCTGTCAAAACCCTGCCAAACGATAGCACTCATATTTTTCAGTTCTCAATATTTCATGAGGTGTCATTTGACATTTTTAGCTTATGTAAATTCAGAGTTCAAAAATTGAAATAAAAAATTACAGAACTGTCAAAACCTGTCATTTATTTTAGTAGGAAAAAATATTCCCATCTGGTTCTTTTTTGCTTTAAGGTAGTTTATTGGTAATATAAAACATTAAACAAATCGTTGATATTTTTCGATTCACCTTGGTTGACTCAGTAGAAATCGTTATTCACTTCATCAAAAGCTGCAATAGTTACCTTGCTTTTGAATATTAGATTCCAAAATTTGACGGCTGATACCGCCTCACCTGCTGCGCCTATTGTAAAAAATGTTGCTTACGGCATATTCAATAACATATTTAAATTCAACCAAATATGACGGATAACCAATTTCCATTTAAATATTGCGGGGTCCTTTCTACTTTTTCAATGTCTGGATGAAATTAAATACTACTAATCCCTGGTCCAAATAGGAGTGATGAAATGATAGTTTTATAGTCGCTCTTTTTGATTTTAATAATTTTCAAGCCTAAAGTTTTAGGTGTAAAAAGGAGCAATTTTTTGCACATATTCACTTGCAAATTTTGATTAATGCTATTTTCGAATTATAGTAGAAAAACGTTCCAGAAAAATAAATATTTAAAAAAAATTATGTTCCGATTGTAGCTAAAGTGATAAATATTTCGTAGGTACGTTTATGTTACAGCAGAAAATCATTAAATATGGACAAACAATAAAAAAAGGGGTTACTCAATTTTGGCCCACAGTGACCTTTTGAGATATTTTAATTTCTATGATACAATATTTTTGATATATAATTATTTTTATTGCTTTCTACTTGTTATTTGCAAGACAAAGAAATTATTAAAGAGTCATTAAGAAAATGAAAACCTTATACTGATTACTTCAACTGGATGGTTGAAAATCAGTTGATTAAGGTTTATTAAAAGACGTAGATACTGTGATTATATCAACTGAAAAAATAATAGATGCTATAGATAATGAAATGAATTGATATCGCAAAATTTTCTTTAGTGCTGTGATATAGCATTTGGATATAGTAAGATCCCAGCTAGAAAATACCTGATATTGAGGATGTCAACGTTATTTAAAATAGGATGGATTGTTTTGAATTCACCCTGTAATTGATTGTTAAAGAAAATGTATTGTTGTTTTTTTTACAATGACTTTCCCAGTATCAGTTTTTTTTTAGCGGGTCAAAGATTATTGAGGTTCGCTATGTCTATGGTTTCCTGCGGAGTAACTGACTAGATGAGGAAAAATTATTAAGGACGAATAGATAATTGTGAAAATAATGACTAAAATGTCTTAAGTAGTATAGTCGCTGCCACAGATATTTGAGATTCCTACAAAAAATTATTTCTTTGTCGGCGATTTCTCGATTCGATTAATTACCTAATTTCATGCATTAAATATTTGAAAGATCTTTCAAGAAAATTGAAAAATAATTTTGAACATTATTTATTATTTACAACGATTTAAACCGAATAATTTCAAGCCAATATAATCTTGTACTCAAGCGGTTTCTCACACGTGCCCCCTGACTAAATGCAGGCGGGCTGATAATATAAACATACTTTTTTGTACGAATCTCGAATATCTCTGGCGGATACTATATCTTTATCACAAAATCAAAGTTTTTTTTTTTAAATTGAATGATTCGTAATTTAATAATATAGGTATCGATACTTTTTCTTTTGGAAGTCTGTCCAATTAAAGGTCACTAAATTTCTTTTCAAGCTAAAGTTTGGAACTTTATAAAACCATAATTATGTGTATACACATAAATTAAATAATCTCTCAATTAGACCTACATAGTTTTTAAATGAGACACTAATTTTATAAATCACCTAAATGCTTACTTACTGATAAATAAATATTTACATTTAACTACTTTTTATTAGTTAGTATTACATTAAAATGGCTAGTATTGAAAAATTATACATAAAAAGCTGAAAAATTTCCTATGAACTATTTTGTGTATAATAGTTAGGCAGTGACACAAGAATTTTTCTTTTTGATAAACATTCTTTCAAGAAAAATCTTTCAATAAAGCACCGTGACTTTATAGGAGTGCATGGTTCACAAAAAAATACATAGGTAATATCAACTATTTGAATATAATTATCTAGGACAAATTTAAGGTTCCAGCCTCAAAGAAACTTCTAACAAATAGGAGCCATTTTAACTTACAAACTATGAAAGACAAAATATTAAAAAAAAAAAAAAACAATTAGAAACCTTGCGGAAATTTGAAGAGAGAACTAAATAGGCTCATTAAAAAAAAAACTAGTATTTTGATTTATGTTCGAACAACTACTAGCACTCTTCTGCTCTCCCTCAATTCCGCAAAAATTACAAAAAACTCGCATTAAAGCTTCATTAAGAAATACATACAAGATAAATTACATATTATTATTTGTCGAAGAATTTACAGATAATATATTGCGAAAAATCCTATTTTTTTTTTTTAAGAATAATCCTACAGCGTTGTCGCCAAAATGACTATAAGTACTACGAGAAGTATTATTAGGCAAATGATAATGAAGATCTTTTTCTGGAAAAAAAATTATAAAAAAAATAAGTATGAGGAAAAACTAAATACCATGTAGGATGTTTAAAACAATACATCCAAAACCTAAAATCGTCCTGCATAAAACCGGAGCCTGAGAGAAATAAGAAAAATTTTGGCTCGAGGAAAGAAGGTGTCTAGTAACTCTAAAATAATAAAATCATGCCAGAACAATCAGAGACTTTGTCCCAGGGATAGTCTCTATGCCAAAGAACGATTTTATTGGATGTATTGTTTTGAACCTAATCCAACAGGTAGAAAAATTGGACATCACATGACATACTTTATCAAAAAAGTTTGTCATATTTAGGCAATCCAAATCAAGTACCTAATTTTCAATATGACAGAGTTTTTTTTTATATCTGCCCTATTGAATTAGGCACATCATTTGCCATGTTACAGCTTTGTTTTGGTTCCAGTGAGAACCAGTTCCGAAACATTTGTAAAATTTAGTTCAAATTAACCTGCGAATTTAACTAATTCGAACGGTTCTAGAATTAGATCTGACTGTAAACAAAATAAAGCTGACACATCCAAAACTACCAAATCCAACAAAACACTGACTAAAAAAAAACAAACAGAAAACATATTATAAGCTGAAAATAACACATTTTGTTAATCATTTTCAACTTTTTTTTTGAACAACAAACGAATACTACACCACAAATTGCATTTCATGAAGAAGTCC